GGGAGGGGGGATCGGGATGGGGAACACATGTAAACACATGTAAATCCATGGCTGATTCATGTCAATGTATGGCAAAAACCACTACAATACTGTAAAGTAATTAGCCTCCAACTAATAAAAATAAATGAAAAAAAAAAAAGAAAACCAATCTCTTGGAGCACAGGTATTAAAATTTTATTCACTTTTCATAAGCTAGATATAATTTCAAATATTTTCTATGTTAAATGTATAAATCATTAATATTTAGTGGTTTTTAATCTAACCAGTCCATCCTAAAGGAAATCAGTCCTGAATATTCATTGGAAGGACTGATGCTGAAGCTGAAACTCCCAATACTTTGGCCGCCTGATGTGAATAATTGACTCATTTGAAAAGACCCTGATGCTGGGAAAGATTGAAGGTAGGAGGAGCAGCGGACGACAGAGGACAAGAAGGTTGGATGGCATCGCTGACTCAATGGACATGAGTTTGAGTAAACTCTGGGAGTTGGTGATGGACAGGGAGGCCTGGTGTGCTGCAGCCCATGGCGTCGCAAAGAGTCGGACATGAGTGAGCAAGTGAACTAAATTGAAGTGGGTAATTAATATATATTCAAACATTAATAACATATATTATGCTTGAAGCAGCCACCTGCTGTTTTTCCCCAAGGAATCTTAAGTGCAGAAAACCTCATGGATGGGCTGTCCCCTGTGACAGTGAGGACCATCCTCACCGTTGCCCCTCACTCCTGTACACTCTGGTCATGGGAGGGGCCACTGCTGGTTTATAAAAGGCAGAAGCTCTGTCACAGGACATGCCTGACCTTGCCAGCTGCTGTCTGCATCTGACACCATAATTCAGCCTCCGTGGGCAGCTGGTAGCTCAGTGAATCCCACGGACAGGAGTTCATTTCTGCGAAGCACGTCTTCCCACTGGAGTCAGTGCTGTGTGAGACACCTAATTCTCTACTGCTGTGTAACAAATTAGACCAATTATAGCAGACAGTGTTTTAAAATAGCAGGCATTTATTGCCTGCCAGGTCCGCTGGGTCAGGAGTCTAGTGACTGAGCTGGTGGCTCTGGCTCAAGATCTCCCCTGGAGCTGAGGTCAAAGTTCATGGCAGTGCAGTCTCTAGAGGCCATTCTGGAGCAGACTTCACCTCCGAACTCACATCTGGACCAGAGTTCCTCCCCACAAGGTCTCTCTCCACAGGGCTGCATGGTGATAGGCAGCTGGCCACTCCCCCTGCAAAAAATACAAAAAGTGAGAACACAAGATTTAAGCTGCAGGCTTTTATAATGTAATCTAGGAAATAGTATCATCACTTCTGCCACTGTGAACTCCTAAGTCCCCACCACTCAAGGGACACAAATTAAGCTTCCCCTCTTGAAAAGAGAAGTGGCTGAGAACTGAGACAAATTTTGAAAACCGCCACAGACTCTTTGGTTCCAGAAGAAGGATTCTACAGGCCCACGGGGAGGTTTAGCCCCCAGACTCAGCAAACGCATCCACGCCAGAGAAGACAGTACCGCCTCATCCACGACAGAGGGGTTAACGTAACCCGCACACCACAGGCAGCTGCGTGGTGCTGGGCAGGGGTGTTCCACTGAGGGTTCTGACTGGCCTTTGTTAGTAGGAAGGAGATCCGACACCTGAGCACGACAGATTGTCCTGTTTGCTTGAGTTGTGAACTCCTTGGCCATGGATGCTCTCTGATGGGCATTTACTTGGGACACAATTTTTTTAACTTCCTGTCTCTATATTGGGAGGTCCTTTAACATACCGCTCCTCCCCAGACCTACTCATCACCAACTTTTCATTTTGCTTTTTCCAAACCTTTGACCAACTGCCCAATCTGTTGGCTGCTGCCTTTGAGTCAGCAGAGAGCCAACTCACATCTCCCTTTTGAGGTGGACCAGATGCACCAACGCAAATCCTGCTATTGAGAGTGTTGTCATCTACTCCTGAGAGAAAGATGAAGTGTAGCTCTACTCACATCTGGCCTACCACCCACATCCATACATCAGTTCAGCTGACTTCAGTCACTCAATTGTGTCCAACTCTTTGCAAATCCATGGACTGCAGCATGCCAGGCCTCCCTGTCCATCACCAACTCCCAGAGCTTGCTCAAACTCATGTCCATCGAGTCAGTGATGCCATCCAACCATCTCATCCTCTGTTGTCCCCTTCTTTTCCTGCCCTCAATCTTTCCCAGCATCAGGGTCTTTTCTAATGAGTTAGCTTGCCTCATCAGCTGGCCAAAGTATTGGAGTTTCAGCTTCAACATCAGTCCTTCCAGTGAACACCCAAGACTGATTTCCTTTAGGAGACTGGTTGGATCTCCTTGCAGTTCAAGGGCCTCTCAAGAGTAGGCACTTAATAATACTTAATGAATGACATTNTCTCAGTTCATGTACTGTTGAAGCCTAGCTTGGAGAATTTTGAGCATTACTTTGCCAGCATGTGAGACGAGTACAATTATGTGGTAGTGTGAACATTCTTTGGCATTGCCTTTCCTAGGGATTTGATTGAAAACTGACCTTTTCCAGTCCTGTGACTACTGCTGAATTTTCCAAATTTGCTAGCATATTGAGATACTTTCAGAGTATCACCCTTTAAGATTTGAAATAGCTCAACTGGAATTCCATCACCTCTGCTAGTTTGCTCATAGTGATGCTTCCGAAGGCCCACTTGACTTCACACTCCAGGATGTCTGACTCTAGGTGAGTGATCACACTATTGTGGTTATCTGGGTCATTAAGATCTTTTTCGTGTGTAGTTCTTCTGTGTATTCTTGCCACCTCTTTTTAATATCATCTGCTTCTGTTAGGTCTATAATGTTTCTGTCTTTTATTGTGCCCATCTTTGCATGAAATATTCCCTTGGTATCTCTAATTTTCTTGAAGAGAGCTCTAGTCTTTCCCATCCTATTGTTTTCCTCTATTTCTTTGCACTGATCATTGAGGAAGACTTTCTTATCTCTCCTTGCTATGCTTTGGAACTCCACATTCAGATGGGTATATCTTTCCTTTTCTCCTTTGCCTTTAGCTTCTCTTCTTTTCTCAACTATTTGTAAGTCTTCCTCAGACAACCATTTTGCCTTTTTGCATTTCTTTTTCTTGGGGATGGCCTTGATCAGTGCCTCCTGTACAATGTCACAAACCTCTGTCCATAGTTCTTCAGGCACTCTGTCAGATCTAATCCCTTCAATCTATTTCTCACTTCCACTGTATAATCGTAAGGGATTTGATTTAGGCTATACCTGGTCTAGTGGTTTTCCCTACTTTCTTCAATTTAAGTCTGAATTTCACAATAAGGAGTTCATAATCTGAGCTACAGTTAGCTCCTGATCTTGTTTTTGCTGAGTGTGTAGAGCTGCTCCATCTTTGGCTGCAAAGAATATAACCAATCTGATTTCGGTGTTAACCATCTTGTGCTGTTCATGTGTAGAGTTGTCTCTTGTGTTGTTGGAAGATGGTTTTTGCTATGATCAGTGCGTTCTCTTGGCAAAACTCTATTAGCCTTTGCCCTGCTTCATTTTGTACTCCAAGGCCAAACTTGCCTGTTACTCCAGGTATCTCTTAACTTCGTACTTTTGCATTCTAGTCTCCTGTGATGAAAAGGACATCTTTATGGTGTTAGTTCTAGAAGGTCTTATAGATCTTCATAGAAGGGTTCAACTCCAGCTTCTTTGGCATTAGTGGTTGGGGCATAGATTTGGATTACTGTGATATTGAATGGTTTGCCTTGGAAATGAACAGAAATCATTATGTCATTCTTGAAACTGCACCTGAGTACTGCATTTCGAACTCTTTGTTGACTATGAGGGTTTGGTTCTCCTTGGATGGCAAACATCCTTCCATTAACCAGGCTTTTTATTCCTTTATGAAATATTCAATGAGGACCCCCACCTTCTCAAGGTACAGACTGAGGCAGCGTGGGAGGAGGAGATATTACAGGACCCAAGTCATATTTGCAGGTTGTGAACTCTGGGCCCACTCAGCCCCAAGCTGTTGGACACTGCTGATTTGATAACGGAAGTTTGTTTGTCACAACCAGTGGTTTGGTTCTTTGGATTAGATCCCTGATGGCAAACTTCTTTGTAAAGGACCAGATACCAAATAGTTTAGACTTTGGAGGCCACACAATTTCTCCTGGAACTGTATTGTAAAAGCAGTCATAGATAATGTAAATGAATGGGCTCATTTACTGTGTTCCAATAAAACTTTAGTTGTATAAAATCTCAGACCCTCACAGTACCTGACAGCTATTTCTTGCTCATTAGATTTAATCAGCAAATGTCATCAATATAATGGACTGGCAGAAGGGGCTGACTCTGCTGGTAAGGGAGGCTTGTGGAAAGAATTACAAGTTCTCAGCCTTTAAAATTTTACCCCAATAAGATACATTTTCACAGGGTTCCACTCTTTCTCCTCAGCTAAGAGGCTGGCAGGGCTGGGTATTTAATTAGTGCTGCCACATTTACCAGAAGATGTGGGCTTGGTCCTTGGCCATACATTCCCTGAGACCACAGGACGTGAGGGGCTTCTTCAGAGCTCCTGTCCACACATTCTTGTTCTCAATATATGTTCTTAGTGGTACCTTCATTTTCTTTTTCCCTATGTATTCTCTCTAGGGTGTTAGGTAAAAACCAGATGACACTAAGCTTGGACAGTGTCCAGTGGATAATTTGAGGACTCAGGATGCTACCCCACCCTTTGGATTGTCATGGTGTGTTTCTTGCTAGTAAGAGTTTATCCCTGTGCTCCTCAAATATGAACAACTTAATTCAGAATTCTACCTGAAGAAGCAATTTCCCAAGGCCACTGTTGTATCAGCCAAGGTCACTAAGGAAATAGTTGGCCTTCTCCAATTTACTGTAATTCAAAGAAGCTTAATAAAGGGACTATTCACAAAGATAGGTCTGGGTTGCAGAGAAACAAGCAATAGGGTCTTATCCTGGGCCTAGTGACACTGTGGTGTCCCCACACCCAGATCTCCAATAGATGAGGGCACTTCTCCAGCTGCTTGTGACTTTAATGTGGAGATGGAGCCAGCTCAAGGTGGGTGAGGTGAGGGGAGTACCCTGGCTTACCTTTTTGAGTAAAACAGACGTCACAGAGTAAGAAACCTATGGATGTAGCAAATACAGAACACAGCCAGCATCTCACAGCCAAGAGCAGGCTGAAAAAGGGCGAAGGGTGGGAGTGGAGGGCAAACAAAAAATATTCAGTATAGTTCATTTTGGGTTTTTTAAAATTGTGCGTCAACAGTATTGCTTTGTGAAGAGAAACCTGTGAGGGGAGAACATATAGGAAAAAAATGTGTTCCTATCGTGTTAAAAAGAGTTGAGACAAATATTTCAGTGACTTAAGATTAAGAGTGCCTATATTTGCAATGTTAATTTGATGAATAACATTCACTGTACAAAATAATAAATATAAATTAAGTGTATTTAAAAGTTACTGTCATTCATTTAAACAGTTTGCTAAAAATGTATGTAGTAGCATTCTCCTTGTGCATCAGTCCTGAAGGATTTTTAAGAAATCTACATAAACATGTTTGATTAAATATCACTGAGGTAACAGGGCTACTTATTTAACTTATATGCAGAGTACATCATGAGAAACGCTGGGCTGGAGGAANGATCCTGATGCTGGGAAAGACTGAAGGCAGGAGGAGAAGGGGACGACAGAGGATGAGATGGCTGGATGGCATCACCGACTCAATGGACATGGGTTTGTGTGGACTCTGGGAGTTGGTAATGGACAGGGAAGCCTGGCGTGCTGTAATTCATGGGGTCACAAAGAGTCGGGCATGACTGAGCGACTGAACTGAACTGAACAGGGTTCAACATCAGGTCAAATTGTGTGTCAGTGAATACAATTTCCTATCTCACTTTCCTCATTTTGGTTTTCCATTCAGGGAGTTTTCATGCATTCTGTGTAGCTGTACGCACATCCACAGGTTATTTTTTAAGTCTTCTGTCTTTAGAGGCAGCGCGGGGCAGCGGGGACAGCAAGAGGAGCCGAACCGCTGGTGCCCCTCCTGGCCTCGCCACTCCCAGTTGGCAGGAAGCCCAGCCTGGCTCTTCTGTGAATCACGAATAACGGTCCCTTCCCTCAGGGTGGAAGGGAAGCTGGAGATAAATACGTGCAGGGCTTAACACAACCCCTGGCAGAGAGTAACATGTAAGCTACAATCATTATTATCAGATATCTACAATTAAACTGAAAACCGAGAAGTTATCTGTCGAGGGCCATGCCCATCAAGACCACCACTTATTAATTACTGGGAATCTCGGTTTTTGTTTGTTTACCTGGTTTTGCTCCCAGAATCCCGAAGTAAGAACCAGCAGGTAAATTACCGAGCCGCTGCACCGACACCACGCACTGATATCAGCACGTTCACACTAACTGTACATTTAATTTTCATTTCCCTCATTTTCTCCCTTTTGGGCCCAGGAAGTGGCGGAGCGATCCCGGGCGAGTACGTTGATCTCCCTCAAAGTACTGTGAGGGAATGACTGTGCCGGCAACCGCCAAGACAGCTGCATTTCCGGTGGAAGTGCTGTGACTCTCTTCGCTTCCATCAACCTGTTCACAAAACCGAAAGGCGAATTCTAAGCCTGAGCCCCAGCCTTCATGGGCCGCCGAGACGCCTCTGCCATCGCAGCCTCCTCAGCGAGAGCGACCCGCTGCCGTCGCCGCCACATTTAAATAAGGCGCCGTCTTCTCATTGGCTGGCACTGCTGCTCACCGATTGGCCCCGCTCGGAGGTGGGCGGAACCGGGGAAGCCCATTGGTGGAGACGGGAATTTTAAACGGGGCAAAACCCTTTCCCGGTTCGCTTCTCTCTCCAGTTTGTTTGTGCGTCCGGACGCCTTTCTGGGTCCTGGCAACTGGACGAGAAAGGGGGCGAGTTCTCTCTCGATCCCCGCAGGTCCTCGAGGGGAGGCAGTGGGCGTTCTTGCGGAGGCCGCTCGGAGCAGCCGGGTGTACCCAGAGGCCTCGATGGCGACCTGGCAGCGGGGGCGCGGCTGCTGGGAGTGGAGCCCGCCGGAGCCGAGGCCGCGGGCGGGGCCGAGGGGTCCCCGCGCTGAGGAGGAGGCGGTGTCCCCTGCCGTCCTGTCCCTCAGCCACTTCTGCAGGTCGCCCTTCCTCTGCTTCGGGGACGTGCGCCTGGGAGACTCGCGCACGCTGCCCCTGACCCTGGACAACCCCAACGAGGAGGCGGCCGCCGTGCGGCTGTCCCGCGGCCCCGCCGCCGAACGCGGCTTCACTATCCGGCCGAGCGCCTTCGTGCTGCAGGTAAGAATGGGGTGCGGCCTCCCCACCACGCTCCTGGAGCCGGGCTCGGAAGGGGCAGGAGCGGACCTGAGGGAAAGCCGGGTGCTTCCCTCAGATGCTGGTGAGCCCCGGTCCCCGGGGCAAGAGGAGCCCGGGTGGGCGGGGACCCGGCGGTGACAACGCGCGCACCCGCGCCGGGCATCCTTCAGAGCACTTACCTACTTACCTCCCTTCTGTGACAGAGAAGCGTTTCTCATTGACTTAGGGCCTCGAGAAGATTGGCAGTTCTAGAGGAGTGGATGGCACGTTTAGAGTTAATATTCTTTTCTCTCATCTATTCATCCATCTATCCATCTACCTGTCTGCATTTAAGATTGCCAGGAGTACTCTGATTAGAGCAGGGTTTTTAAATTGCTTTCTGTCAGTCATCTTAATACGCGCTTTAGTTTCTAAAGGGAAACTGACTCCATGGAGTGTCAGAGTAACTACTCTGGTGAGCTTCGTTTTAGCCAAATAGCAGCAAAACCAAAAACACTTTCTCAGGGTTGTTTTCAACAAGTATGCACACTTTATTATTTTAATCTTTTTTTTTTCCTTTGCTGTAGTGTAGTTTTAATGGTGATTCAAATTTAATTTTGTGACTGCTGTTTCAAGGATTTCCAGGGTAACTTTTCTGCATTACATTGGCCACAGTAAAGCTCCCATTCCTGTCATAAAAATCCAGAGCATTTACATCCTTATTTGGACTGCAGTTAGATTGGTTAGAACCTCTGAAAGTGTGAGAAGAAATAAAATTAGCTGAGGGAGTCCCACTCCTTGTCTAAATAACCACTTCCTAAAGCCGTGATACGGAAGGAAATGGCAACCCACTGCAGTGTTCTTGCCTGGAGAATCCCAGGGACGGCGGAGCCTGGTGGGCTGCCTTCTGTGGGGTCGCACAGAGTCGGACACGACTGAAGCGACTTAGCAGCAGCAACAGCCGCAAAGCAGTGATACAGGGCTCTACGCTGAGGTCCATTGACTTAAGCACTGGTTCAGCTACAGTTAAGAACCTGCCATTCCCCTCTAGTTTATAAATGCTTGCTTTTCTTTTTGTGGGAAAACAAATACTTATTTTTTCTATCTACACTATACTTCTGCTTGTTCTTTTCTGTTTTGTGGGACTAAAGTTTTTTAATTTTGTTTTTTAGAATTGTACTTTTATATTGTAAAAGTTAACTGTTCTTTTAAACCATATATTTGTGGTGTTTTATGGTTTCTGCTTTAAAACAAAGCTTGTCTTTTATTAGCTGTTGATTTCCCTCAGCTTCAGGTTTGGGTGTGTTGATTCCACTCAACCACTAAGATAATACATACAAACGATAATGTTTACCTTTTACAAATTGTTCTCAACTCTGTTGGCTTATTTAATCCTTACAACAAACTCATGGGGTCATTATTTACATTAGAGGATAAGGCACCGCTGTCAAAGGGTTTGTGTGCAGTGGATCAGAGTTAGGCAGCTCGGTTCACTCTTCAGAGTCTCTATTTTCTCGACTGTTAGTTGAAAGTAATGCCAGCTAAAGCTGTGCATGGTGCTCAAATCAGAGAAAGCTTCAAGCAAAGATCTTGACTGTGACCTGAATAAATGTTCCCTTCTTAATTTTTAACAAGGAAATATGCTCAGAGGGTGGAAACATTTACACATATAGTTTTATTCTTGGCAATTGACACAGTTGGGATTCTCATCCAGGTCTTTAAATCTCGTGCACTTTCACTTATATTGATTCAAAGACAGGAGGCATAGTTCCTTCCTAAAGACATATGTTAGGAGGATGAAGGGAACTTCTAAAAACAAGGAGACACTGCATCAGATAGGTACCAAGAAGGATGGGATGTTTTGAGGAGACTGGTGATTCTAAATTTGAGGGCATCAGAATCACCTAAATGTAAAATACTTGGGGTCCCTCAGAGTCTGATTCCATAGGTGCAGAGGACAACTAGAATTTGCTTTTCTCAGAAGTTCCCAGGTGATGCCTCTGCTACTGGTCCAAGGACCACATTTTGAAAAGCACAATAGTAGAAAATACCTATGTGAACTTCCCTTATCTAAAACACACCCTTGGTGAATTAGCATGTCACCGTAGGCCTAAGCAGTATTTCTCTGAGATGCCTCAACCACTCACATCAGATTTGTCTGGATTGCTTGTAATATGGGAGATTTCTGCTCATCACTCCACACTTGCTAATGTGAATCTCTGGGGTTAAATACAGAAAACTGCATTTTAAACAAGATCTTTTGTATGCAGATGGCATCTCAAGAACCACTAGGTAAAGTGTTATACCTGCCAGAGAGTGACTTCACAGTTGGTATAAAAATAGGTCTACAATACAATGTATCTAGGCCTGAAAAGGAATGAAGACCAGAGACTCATTCAGGATATTTTTTGCAGAGCAGATTTATGGACGGCCCTTTTCAAGGATAAAACATTTTTTTTTTTTTTGCATCCTTCTTTGTATACTTATCTATTTTTTTTCCATGATACATTAAAAACTATTTTTCATTCTACTTTTTGCCAGGTACTGTGTGAGACATTCAGCTTATAAAATTGAGGACAAAGGGGAAAAAAATTTAAATGATTGTTTGGGTTTCTCTTACTCTCCTAATCATGCTTTTTAAAACTGTGATAATACTGGTGTGCTCGAATCTGCCCATGACAGCTGTCATGTAGGGGTTGTGTCATTTGGGTCTGAGTCTTCATAATGACAGTCAGTTAAAATCACCACCCGCCACACTGAACGCTTCCTTTGTAGCTCAGTTGGTAAAGAATCTGCCTGCATTGCAGATTCCTGGGTTCGATTCCTGGGTCCGAAAGATCCCCTGGAGAAGGAAATGGCAACCCACTCTAGTATTCTTGCCTGGAGAATCCCATGGACAGAGGAACCTAGCAGGCTACAGTCCATGGGGTCACAAGGGTCAGACACGGCTTAGCGACTAAAGCACATCTCACTGAATGGAGTTAAGCTGTGTGTCCGTCCTGGCTGTGTGTCACCTCCTGGTGAGCTATGAACAACCACAGATACCAGGGCCTGGCTTCAGCATCACTCCTGGTAGGCCATGGTGAGGACCAGGGCATCTTTACTTTCCACAACCCCCTCAAAGTGATTCCTGTAGCCAGGTGTGCAAATAATTTAACTGGATGGTTTAACAGACTCATTGGTGCCAGTTATGGGAATATGAGTTTCTGCTACAGATGAGTAGAAACTAGCATGAGGCCACTTGCACTTCTTTAATAAAACAAGCCATCCTTCTTCTGTCTGCAGTGAGTGTGATGCTATTTTGATCTGACTGGAAGACTTGGATGAACTGGCTTAATAGCAGCCCCAAAACTGACTCTGCCCCTCCCTCTCTTCACCTCTGGGCTTCTGAGACTGCTCTGTCCATTGCACTTATGGCCACCAGGGGGCGAGCCAGATCCAGTTAATAACCACGTATCTTCTGTTGTCACTGACTACAACTGTCATTTTCTGATTTGTCACTAATAAGGGTGTAAACAAAGACTGCAGAATCTTAGGACTTGAGGGAAATGACAAGTGATTTTGTTCACTGATTCCCAGCTTTTAAAAATTTCCTCCCCAAGAAGAGATGCAGTACACATTTTAAATTGCTATCCTGACTTTCTAATGTCTCTCTTAGAATCCAGATAAAATAGTACCACTCTTATCTCAGACACTTGGCAATGCTTCTGTTCAAAAAATTAACAGTTATGCATAGACTGACATTACTGAAGGTATTTAAAAGAAAATATATAACAGATCTGTTCCCTCATTTGTTTTGTTTGAGATACTAAGAGGTTGAAAGCAAGGGGGAAATGGGTAGGGAATCCAAATGAAGACTTACCAAGGGGAAAAAGCAAAATGCTTCATGTTTTATCTCAGTTTTTACACCTCTGAGAGTATTTGTCTCCATAAAAAGTCAAGTTTTGTAGATAGACTATCACCATCACAGTCCGAAAAGCAGGTATCAGTTATAAACCCCTTTTAAGTGTCTCTCAGAACTGACTTGCTCTCAGTGGCTTAGTCTATGGACTGTTACAAATTAAAGAAGGACTTCCTCATGGGAGAGTGGATGGAGGAGGAGAAGGTAGGAAAGAGGAAGGGGGGGGGGACATTGTGAGCATCTTTTTTTCCAATGTACTCTCCTGGGTTACAGGATTAAGCCTTCAATTAAGGATAAAAAGACTTGAACTTCATTTTGGTATGCCTTAAAGAAAATAGGCAAACAAAACAAAACCCCTGAAGCCAACTGTACACCTAAGTAATGTTTACAGTGTTTAGATATGCTAGAGAGTTTTCAAACACACAGCAGTCCTCTGCTTCTCTCTCCAGCCTCATGTGTCGCAGGTCATTTGCCTTCTCACTACTGTTAAACCACACTGGTCCTCTGTCTGCCTCTGGGGTTGTCCTACGAGGCAACCCTAACCCTAACCCTGACCCTCTGGCTCCAGGGCTATGCATGTGCTGGTACCTTCTGAACCGCTTCTCCCTGACAGCTCAGTTGGCAAAGAATCCGTCTGCAATATGGGAGACCCCGGTTCAATTCCTGGGCTGGGAAGGTACCCTGGAGAAGGGACAGGCGACCCACTCCAGAGTTCTTGGGCTTCCTTGGTGGCTCAGCTGGGAAAGAATCCGCCTGCAATGCGGGAGACCTGGGTTCAATACCCGGGTTGGGAAGATCCCCTGGAGACGGGAAGGGCTACCCACTCTAGTATTCTGGCCTGGAGAATTCCATGGACAGTCCATGGGGTCGCAAAGAGTCGGACACGGCTAAGCTACTTTCACTTAGCTCTGTGTATCCAGCTCATTCTTATACTTTGTTTTAGCTTAAATATTATAATCATTATAATCTCTAATCAGCCAGTTAGAGATTATAGTTCCCTTCACTATTGCTGTGCCTCTCAACCTTTTTTTGTTTCATTGATGACAGTACTGGGGACTTGTATTTTTGTACTTATCTTTTTATTTAGATTTTGTCATTTCTTTTTATTGAGCAGAATATAGTGTCCATGAGACCAGAGGCCATGTGTGTTTTTCATTCATTCAATAATTTTGTCACTTAAATATTTAACATACGCCACCTCTGTGTCAGGCACTATGTCTGCCATTAGGCACTCACTAACTATTTAGAAGGAGCTCTCCCTTTTAGATTAGAAAAACAATTTTTTATGTATAAATTGAGAAGCAAGTAGTAAGAATTCACACTCTTGAATTTATTCTAAACAGATAATTTCATCTGAATTCTCAGTGACAATGAAATTTGAAAGATAAGCCCATTAAGTACAAGCGGATCTGATATTGTGGGTTCTCATCCAGACCACTGCAATAGAGTGAAAATCATAGAAAAATGAGTCACATGAACTTTTTGGTTTCCCAGTGCATATAAAATTTATGTATACACTATTCTGTAATTTTTTAAGTGTACTATAGCATCATGTTGAAGAAAACACTATACATATCTCAACTAAAAAGACTACTACTAAAAGATACTCACAATCAATTGAGCCTTCTGCAAACTATACCTGTTTTGTGGTTGTAAGGTCTGACCTTGATGTTGGTGGCTGCTGATTGGTCAGGGTGGTGGTTGCCGAAGGCTGGGGTGACTGTGCCAATTTCTTAATGTAAGACAGTAGTGAAGTGTGCTGTGTTGATTGGCTCTTCCTTTCGTGAATAATTTCTCTGTAGCCTGCAGTGCTGTTTGATAGCATTTTCACCACAGCAGAACTTCTTTCAAAATTAAAAGTTTCTCCTCTTCAGCCTTGCTCTACTTTCCCAATTAGGTTTATGTAATATTCTAAATCCTTTGTCATCATTTCAATAATCTCCACAGCCTCTTCACCAGGAGCAGATTCCGTATCAAACCAGTCTCTTTGCTCATCCATAAGAAACAATTTCCCACCCATTCAAGTTTTATCATGAAATTGCAGCATTTCAGTCACATCCTCAGACACTTCTAAATCTGTTACTGAGTCCACACTTGTACTGCTCACCACACAACAGGCTCTTAATCCTAGAGACAAGCTGTTGGGGCAAGGAGTAGTGACTTTATGTGGAAATTCAGCTGACCAAAACGACGGTGGACTAGTGTCCCAAAGAACCATCTTACCCTAGTTAGAATTCAGGCTTCTTCTTCTTTTTGTTTTTTTAAGAGGAGGGTACCTGGTTTGTTGTTACAAACTTCTTGGTGTCAGAATCCTTTGTTCTTGCAGCTATCCCTATAGGTCAGGTCATGATGTTCCCATAAACGCCCAACAGGACAAATGCTATAATGTATTCTACAACTTTTTAATCTCTATCTTAATGGGAAAGTGTAACACTTAAAGGTCAGAGCCTTGAGAATGGGCTCTCCAGTATGTTTCAAGCTACCTGCAACATTCTTAGCTTGTACAAAAGCAATGGAATACAAAGTTTAAAAGAAACAGATCTGCTGTGGAGTGGGATTTATTCTTCCCTATTACAATTCAAGTTCTCTTGCTATTTCTCCCACATCTGCACCTTTGCTAAAGTCTTGAACCCCTCAAAGTCATTCTGGAAGACTGAAATCAACTTCTTCCAGATCCCTGTTGATGTTGACATTTTGACCTCTTCTCATGAATCATGGATGTTCTTAATGGCATCCAGAATGGTGGATCACTTTCAGAAGGTTTTCAATTTACTTTTCCCAGATCCATCAGAAAGAAGAAGCACTCTCCATGGTGGCTATAGCCTCATGAAATGTATTTCTTGAGGCTGAAATTGAACCTCGCCTTGCTTCTCTGGGCTGCAGACGTCGTAAAGCTTCCTGAACCTTGATTTCTACGTCATCTATAAAATATGCGTCATGACAGTATCTGCTTCCTAGGGGTGTGAGGTTCAGACTGGTTATATTAGATACCTGAAACTAGGCCTGGACTATCAATAATGGTGCTATGGACTTTAGAGAAGCTTGTGGGGAGCAAGGAATTTAGCTGATCATCTTTACATTTCTTTCCGAAAATGTCTTTCTCATATAAGGTATTTATATTTGAAATGGAAGTTCTGTACATAGTCTAAAGAAGTGGAAATGATGTGATTAAATTTTAAAAAACCACTGAACTAAAAGTGATTTGTCGACTCTCTGTTCCACTGCTTTCATATACAATTAAGAGTTTATTATAATTTTATTTTGTTGTGAACTTTGTTATTACTGCTAGCCTTTTTCCTTAGAATGAAATGAGCTAGGGTAGGAAGATACATTTGACTTGTTAAATGTTGGTGACTAACAACTATTAATCCTCTACTGTATTCTCTCTCTATTGATAATGGGGGTGTTAGTTGCTCAGTCGTGTCCAACTCTGCAATCCTATGGACTATAGACCACCAGTCTCCTCTGTTCATGGGATTCTCCAGGCAAGAATACTGGAGTGTGTTGCCATGTACTTCTTCAGGAAATCCTCCTAACCGAGGGATCGAACCTGGGTCTCCTGCTTTGTAGGCAGGTTCTTTACTGTCTGAGCCACCAGGGAAGCCCCATTTGTAATAATATATAATATGTTTGTGTTGTTATACCTCACTACTGTTATAGTCATTTAAAATATGTTCTTTTGGTTATAGCCTAAAGAAAAAATTGTTGTTTCTATTACCTGGACACCATTAAAAGGAGGCCGAGTAAGAGAGACCGTGACATTTCTTGTAAATGATATTCTGAAACACCAAGCTATATTACTAGGAAATGCAGAAGAGCCGAAAAAGAAAAAGGTAATAAGTTTTCATCATTCTGTAATTTACTCTAGGAAATAATATGTAAAATCATTTTGTTCACAGGTCTCTTGAAGCAACATACATAATACTGCCTATAAGTAGTATTCAGTAGTTATCAACTTAATCTGTATGTTTTGCTTATCTTTGCAGAGGACTCTTTGGGATACTATTAATAAGAACAAAGTATCAGCCTCTTCAAGTCATAACAAGAAGGTTTCAAATATTCAAAATGTGAATAAAACATTTAATGTTTCCCCCAAAGCTGACAGAGTTAGGAGCCCACTACAAGCCTGTGAGAATCTGGCAACAAATGGAAACTCTTCCCCACCAGAAAGCAATCCTTTAATCCTTGAAGAAAATAAACTCCCCATATCACCTATCAGCCCCGCTTTCCAAGAGTGCCACAGGGAGACCTGCTTGCCACTTCCTATTCGTCGATCTACGACCTACACATCCCTTCCTGCTTCTGAAAATGGGGAACTGGTGAAAGCAGATGGTGCCAACACTGCAAAAGATTTTCATTTTAATGAGAAAGGCATAACTGAAACTTCCTTTGACTCCATAGGTAATGTTAATAGTCAAATTGAAGAGAACGGTAAACTTACTCTTACCCCAAATTATTCTTCAAGTCTGAACATCACGCAAAGCCAAGGACATTTTTTAAGTCCAGATTCTTTTGTGAATAATAGCCATGCATCCAATAATGAACCAGAATTCGTGATGTGTCTCTCACCAGATACGTTTGTGAAAGGTAATACAAGGCCTGTGCTTTTGGAATCAAAAAGGGTACATGAAATCTGTCGGAAAATTTTAAGTCCAGATTCTTTCATAAATGATAATTATGGACTAAATGAGGATCTAGAAACAGAGTCAGTCAACCCAATTCTATCCCCAAATCAATTTTTAAAAGATAATATGGCGTATATACATAGATTTCAGCAAACATGTAAATTGTCGCCATTATCTACTGGATGTTTTCAGGACTCACAGCCTCCTCAAGATGAGAGAAAAAACGCAGCTGTACCTTGTGTTTCTGAATGTCAGCAGTTAGAATCTTCAAAAGCTACTTTTGAAGCATCCGAAGCTTTAGAAATGATGTCAAACTGTTACACTTTTAAAAAACAGAACCAGCCTAAATTTTCAGCAGTTCAGGATATTTCTAGTCGCAACCATGATAAACCTATTAAGAGACGCCCAATACTTTCTGCCACTGTGACTAAAAGAAAGACCACTTGGGCCGTAGAAAACCAAATGGAGACTGTTAAACCAAAGGCAAAAAGATGTCTCAATGTCGTAGTGGGTGACTGTGAAAAAGAAACAGATGATCAAAAACAGAAAGATGATTTTCATCCTTTTCTTCCAGCTAGAGATTTAATATCAAGTAGACCTAAGAGCTCTAAAAAGACAGTAACTCCTCCCTGCAAGGTAGCTTCAGTTGCTCGTAAAAGAAAGAGTGAGGGACACAAAGGAGATGAAAATATGACAGTAACAGTTACAGAATGCACAGAAGTACAAGAAGTCAAAAGGATCCATTTTTCTCCTGTGGAGTCTAAAACATCAACTGTTAAACACACAAAAAAAGTGGTAACCACCTCCTTGAAACGTGTTAGCCACAGAGAGAAATTAAACCTGAAGAAGAAAACTGGTGAGTCTGGTTAAAATCTTTCATGAACGTATACCTGTATGGGGGATATTTTCTATTTCTTTTGGTTTAGTAAATTGCTATTGAGAAGCTTGAATCAGCTTGTACTTTTAAGCCACCACTTGGCTTAGTGGAAGATGAGTCAGACGTAGAGTAGGGCCGAATTCTGAAATCACTGTGATCTCATTCTTATTTACATTTTTGATGTTTCATTCATCATGATTTTTCTGCAGTAATTTTTAAGAACTGTTGCATTAAAATACTTGTCTTTCCATTTTTAAAAAATATTTTAACATATTTATTTGGTTGTATCGGGTCTTGGTTGCAGCATACGAACTCTTTTTTCCCCCCCCCCCCAGACTTTAAAGTTTTATTTTGTATTGGGGTATAGCCGATTAATAATGTTGTGATAGTTTCAGATGAACAACTGAAGGGACTTAGCCATACATTTACATGTATCCATCCTCCCCTAAACTCCCCTCCCATCCAGGCTGCCACATAACATTGCGCAGAGTTCCATGTGCTATACAGTAGGTCCTTGTTGGTCATCCATTTTAAATATAGCAGTGTGTACTTAACCTTTCCAAGGTCCCTAACTACTCCTTCCCTGCCAGCAACCATAGTTCATTTTCTAAGTCTGTGAGTCTCTCTCTGTTTTTGTAAGTTCATTGATATAATTTCTTTTTAGATTCCACACATAAGGTATGTCATAAGATATTTCTCCCTCTCTATCTGACTTACTTCACTCAGTATGACACTCTCTAGGCCCACACATATTACTGCAAATGACATTATTTCATTCTTTTTAATGAGTGGAGTGATATTACATTGTATGTATGTGCCACATCTTCTTTATCCATTCCTCTGTCGATTTAGACTGTGTTTCCATGTCCTGGCTACTGTAAACAGTGCTTCAGTGAACAGCGGGGTGCATGTATCCTTTTGGATCATCGTTTTCTCTGGATACATGGCACACAAACTCTTGGTTGTGGCAAGTGGGATCTAGTTCCCCAACCAGAGATCAAACCTGGGCCCCCTGCACTGGGAACATGGAGTCTCAGTCACTGGACCATCAGGGAAGTCCCTACCTGCTTGTCTTGCTGACAGTTTTTTGCTCACCCTGCAAGTGTCGCACCGGGGAAGTACTGAACGTGCCTCGCCTTAGCCCAGGTCCCAGAGTGAGGGCCCAGTGCACACCTGGCCCCATCACACTGTCTGAGGGGGCGCAGAGGAGGCCTTCACCCAGGGACGGCATCTCCTTAGCCTGTACCTGGCCGTTATTCAGGGATGAAGACAAGGCCCCGAGCTCCTCTTTCCTTTAGGAGGAACCTGACCGTTCCTTTCCCAGCCCTCACCCGCCCCACCCCTGTCTGCCTCAGAAACTGTCAGGACTAATCCCAGACTGCCTCGGATGCCAGTCAGGGTCCAGGTAGGAAAACAAACCACACAGGCTATGAAACAGATAATTTAAAGGGACTCCAGGACTCACAGGAAATGTCACAGCCGAGTGCTTGCGCTCACTTCTTATGCGTGCCCCAGTGGGAGCCACCTTCTGCATCTCCCCAGCTCTCTGCAGTGCCTGTGCGCTCTGGACTGACTGCCTTCCTTCGCATATGTCTTTGCTGAGTGCTCCCTCCTCCTGTTCCCGCCCTGACCTGGCCCTCTCCCGAGAACACGCCTTCTCTCCTCCTCTGGCCCGGAACCTCCTGGGACCGTGGACCACCCACCATCTCATACCTGTTTCCAGACTGTTGCTTCTCCTTTCTTCCTTGGAAACAGGTGACAAGAAAGCAAAGGGCCACAGACAGCTTGAAGCTCAGTTTCCATACCACCCCACCTTGAGTTCTGCTTGTTGCATGGAGAGACGACTGAGAATTTTAACATTTGGCTCATAAGAAAGACCTTCTCTAAAACTTCTACTTTATGATGTGTCTTTATGATTTCAAGATCCTTGAAGGAGATCCTTCCAGTACTCTGGCCTGTGAGTTCCGGCCTCCTTAGGCCACACACTTAGAGTGTCTCCCTCGCTGGGATTTCAGCATTTTCTCTAAAAGCCAGTGAATCCGCCTCCATTTCCCCAGCCCTCACCCCTGACCTGTCATCATTTTCTCACTTGGCTTGGCCTCCACGGCTCATCGTAGTCCCTTGTTCCATCTTCGTGCTTTTCTGGCACATTCCAGTTCCCAGGCCAGCTCCATGCCTGAACCTTGCTGCTTGAGCTTTAACTCCATGACTGCTCATCGCCAGGAAGCCCGCAGCTCTTGGCTCTGTCGTCCTGCTTTGTTGACTTTATCTCTCTGCTGCAGACTACTGCCCCCCTCCCTTTTTGTCCTGAAACCTCAAGCACCTCCTTCCTCCTCTGAGGACAAGGTAACAGTAGCCAGTGTTTGCTGCCTACATTCCCCCGCAGCCCCCGCTGTGAGTGCCTTGCTGTTAGCTCCTCTCACACCTACAGCAGTTAGACGGAGTAGACGCTGTCATGAACACATGTTCAAGTCAGGACACCTCCGCATCTAGAAGCTGAGTCTTTGCCTGAGGTCAGGGGAGTAAGTGGTCAGGCTGGGGTTCCCCCAGGCAGGAGGCTCAGCAGCTGGTGCTCTGGTCCTCAACTTCGCCGGCAGCCTGCTTCCTACCTCCCTGAGGATGCAGAGGTGCCGCGGCAAGTCCCATGGCATCCTCACCCACTGTGCTCCCATCCCCTGCTGCCTGCCCGCCTGTGGCAGCCTGAGAGGTCTGTGCGCCTGAGGCAGGCTCTTTACTAGTAACAGTAAAGACCCCAGCTGTCTACACGGTTGTTGTTTTAGCAGCTGCCTTTCCCCACGTCTCCAGGGTTTTACTCCCTATCGGGTCATTTCTGATTCATGCACAAAGCGCCGTTCTTACTTCCATCTCCCCCAAAAAACAGACTTCTCATTGATACCACATATCCATTCACACCTGGCATCTTTCTGCTTTCTTGTAAACAGCACTCCTTGAAAGAACATGCATGTTCATTTTGTGACAGTTCACTGATTCTGTATACTTTTCCATGTAAACATTACGCTTGAATTAAAAGGTGCTTTTTAATGTAAAAAAAAAATCACTTTGAAAGATGCTTTTATTAGCTGTTTCTAGTTCTCCTGTTTGTTGAAGTCACTTCAACCAGATTTTGATGACTGTAGTAAAACCTTTTTTTGTCAAGGTCATCAGCACCTCCACACTGAATCCAGAGGTTATTTCTCAGTCTTCATCTTGAACTCTTAAGCAACCTTTCTCTTCCGGGACCGCTTTACCCTGCCACTCCCACTTCCTCCTGGTTCTCTTCCTGCCTCCCTGGGGGCGCCTCTGCATCTGTCGCTCCAGCCTCTAAACTGTGAGGTACACAAGGACTCAACCACTGAAACTTTTTCATACTTTTGCTCATTCCCTTAATGCTTTCAGGCCATCTCACAGCTTTCAGTACTGCCTCTACATGGAGGCCTTCGTTTTACATCTCTAGGATGGACTTCTCATCTAGACTCGTTTATCCAACATCTTTTATTTCCACTTGACTGTCTCGTGAGCATCTTTACTTTGTCCAAAAGCAGCCCTTTGCCACCCCCAGTCCTGTGACATCTGTCCCCGGTGTGTCAGTCCAACACACTTCTGTTACGATCTCCTCGCATCTCAGGCCCCAGACCTTGGGGTGTCCCTAAGTGTGTATCTCTCCTACCCTTTCTCTAGAAATTCAGACAGTCTGCCTGATTCTAAATTCAGTCCACCAACAAATCCTGTCTTCTTTCCAAGTGCAATCAGAACTGGGTCACTTCTCACCATCACTGACGGCCCCATCCAAGCCTATGTCTCTGCAGGTCCCCTATCAGATCTTGCCTTCACCCTTGGCTTCTCTGGAGCCTGTTTTCCACTTAGCTGCCAGGGCGATGCTTTTAAAATATTCATCAGTTGGATTCTAACATGCTCCATTTCTATACCTCCGATGGCCTTTCATCTCACTGGAAGCCAGGTTCTCACAGCGATGTGCAAGACCCTGTAAGGTCTGCAGAGAAAGAAGTCAGTTTTTCAAGGTGCATTGATTCAACTCTGATAAGGTACCTACTGTGTGCTATTCATTGTTCTAGGCTGTGTGGATACTAGGAGAAAAGACATCATTCCTGTCCTCAGCTGCTCCCAGTCCTTGGAGCTATGCCCAGGGAATCATACTTGGCTTTATGGGAATGACAAGAAGCTGTGAGACGTTTCCAAGGAAGTCTCCCACAGAATAAATGGTTGTAGGTAGAGGGACTAGCTTTTGCAAACCTTCAGAATGAGGAACTCCTCCTCATATTTTTATTTTTTTAGTATGTTAAGATGGAAAGAAACTTATAACCTATAGATATTATGTAGCAAATTGGTCATATTCCTTATTTTGACCATTGGCGTGGATTTGCAATTCTTCTAAGTCAAAGCTAAGCTTTGACTTTTTCTCTGAAGGTCCAGACAGTAAATATCCAGGTTTTGCAGCACATGTGACCTCTGTCACAGCCACTGGGCCCTGCCATTGCTGACAGGGAAACAGCTACAATGTGGACATGAGCGGCTGTGACTCTGTGCCAAGAAGACTTTATTTATGGACACTGAGATCTGAATTTCATATCGTCTTCATGTGTCATGAAATAAAACTGTTTGGAGGGCTATTTTGTTTTTAACTAGGTTCATAAATGTGAAAACTTCTTAGCTTGCAGACTGTACACAAACAGCTGTGGGTTGGATTCTGCCCTGGGCCTTAGCTTTCCCACCTCTGGCTTTATTGTTAATATTAGCTCCTGGTTTTTATGGAGCAGCAGCACAAGCTGGTGTGAAACCGCCTTTGAGGGAGTGAACTTCGTTAGGACAGGCTATTTCCTCTGTGACTTTCCTGTACTTTCCCTGTAGGAAAGTACTTTCCCACCATCTACCTCCTGCAGGTACCCCCACCATCTACCTCCTGCAGGTACCCCCATGGTCTACCACCTGTAGGTACCACTCACCATCTACCTTCTGTAAGTACCCCCCACCATCTGCCTTCTGTATGTACCCCTACTGTCTACCTCCTGCAGGTACCCCTCACCATCTACCTCCTGCAGGTACCCCCCTGGTCTACCACCTGTAGGTACCACTCACCATCTACCTTCTGTAAGTACCCCCCACTGTCTGCCTTCTGTATGTACCCCTACTGTCTACCTCCTGTAGGTACCCCTCACCATCTACCTCCTGCAGGTACCCCCCTGGTCTACCACCTGTAGGTACCACTCACCATCTACCTTCTGTAAGTACCCCCCACTGTCTGCCTTCTGTATGTACCCCTACTGTCTACCTCCTGTAGGTACCCCTCACCATCTACCTCCTGCAGGTACCCCCCACCATCTTCCTCCTGTAGGTACCACTCACCATCTACTTCATCACCTGGATGAGGCCTGGGAACATATCAGGGTTCTTATTCTCCATCATGCACCTAGTGAGTTGACATTAAGCCCTGTTACAAGTTCTGCTATGAAAACAGCTCTTCTCTGGTTTTGTCTCCACTGCTTCTGTGTTCCTTTAAATTCTCACCATAACTGACTCAGGCCCCTGGGATTGCTTCCTTTTCGCTTCCATCTGTAGTCTTGACTCTGGTCCACTGTCCATTCCATCTTCTGAAATACATGTGACAGTGTGACTGCCCACCTTAATCCTTCACTGGCCCACCAGGTACTTGGAACTGAATTACAGTGCAAGCTCTGAAGCCATACTGTCCAGCTTAGCCACCTACTAGCATGCATGACCTTGACCAAGTAGCGTAGTTGCGCTAAGCTCCATAAAACATGGAAAATGATAGTGGACTTCCAATAGATTTCTGGTGCTGACTATATCAGGTAATCTAAATTACAAGACTCTGATAGTGCCTGGTGCAAGTATTCAACTACTAGCTATCACTGTTATTTTTCATATTTTTGAATTCCTTTCTTCCTCTTCTAGCCTCTTTTTTGTCTTGCTTTTCTTGTCTGTGTTCTTGGCTCCAGTACCACCCTGCAGTTCAGTCAGAGGCCCTGTTACTGGTGTGTCATGTCCACTACAGGGTCAGCTCAGGGGCGCTCCCTCCAGGAGGCTGTCTGCCTTCCAGTGGCTCAGCTTTGCCTCCCCTTGTCCCGGGCTCCTCATATACTTCTGACGTAACGTGCTGTGATCCTTTCTACTCCTCTGTTCTGGACCCAGAACATCCTGAGGGCTGGGGCCACATCTTTCCATTCTGCATTCTCAGCACCTAGTTGTATACACACACACACACACACACACACACACACACACACACACGGAGCTGGTTGACTCTCAGTCATAGCTTCTGTCGACACAAAATACATTGTAGTTTCTGGTCTGTAACTTCCAGACGTAGGTTTTATTTGCCCAAGTTCATACCCTGGAGCATAGTGGTTACTCAGATCTGCTAAATGGAGATGATTTTGGAGAGTGCAGATTTTAAGTTGATAGTAGTTCATTTGCAGAATTTATTTTACTTTTTAAATGCTATTCTTTTTCTCATGATTGTAGATTCATTAGGATACAGAACTCCTCCCTCTAAAACAAACAAAAGGACAAGACCCTTTGTTCCTGTGGCTCAGTCTCACTTGACCTTCATAAAACCACTAAAAGCAGGCAAGTGTTTAATATCTTTAAAGTCTATGAAAAACTGACACTGAATGAAGCATTAGTCGCATTTCAAATGGAAATGAATTGATTTTTTTTAATGGAGTAAAAGCCTTGAAGAATTGTTAAGGTATGTATCCTAGTAACAATTAGGATATTTTCTCAGAGTTCAATGAAGTTGACACACTTTTCTTGGGATTTTTAAATAACTAGGAGGTACTGCCTTACTTTTTCTCTTTTACTTTTACTACATTTTACACTGCAAAATGGGCTTTCCTAGTAGCTCAGCTGGTAGCAAATCTGCCTACAATGCAGGAGACCCCAGTTCGATTCCTAGGTCAGGAAGGTCGCCTGGAGAAGGGATAGGTTAACCGTCCAGTATTCTTGGGCTTCCCTGGTAACTCAAATGGTAAAGAATCTGCCTGTAATGCAGGAGACCTGGGTTTGATCCCTGGGTTAGGAAGATCTCCTGGAGGAGGGCAACCCACTCCAGTACTCTTGCCTGGAGAATCCCATGGACAGAGGAGCCTGGTGGGCGACAGTCCACGGGGTCACAAAGGGTCGGACAGGGCTGAGTGACTAAGCACAGCACAGCACACCCAAAATGCTTTAACTGCTTCCAGCAAGAAGTAGAAACGCAAACATTGTTCAGTGTCTCAAGGTGATTTTGCTGACGATAGTCTATTGCTATAGATGGTATAATAATTTAAAGGAAAAATTTTTATGCCTTAACCTAATTGTATTCCTAGGTATACCTAGACATCCAATGCCGTTTGCTGCAAAAAACATGTTTTATGATGAACGCTGGAAGGAGAAGCAGGAGCAGGGCTTCACTTGGTGGCTAAATTTTATATTAACTCCTGACGACTTCACTGTAAAAACAAATATTTCTGAAGGTAAACATGAAGTTAATGTTAAATTAGATAATACTTTTGTTTTAACGGGTCATTTTTAACATGATTTTTTCATTCTTTAGTTGTATAGATATTTTGGGCTTCCCTGGTCGCTCAGAGGGTAAAGAGTCTACCCGTAATGTGGGAGACCTAGGTTCAATCCCTGGGTCAGGAAGATCCCCTGGAGAAGGAAATGACAGCCCACTCCAGTATTCTTGCCTGGAAAATCCCATGGACAGAGGCGTCTAGCCGGCTGCAGTCCGTAGGGTCGCAAAGAGTAGAACACTACTGAAGTGACTTCACTATCTCTTTCACAAGTGTATCATAGTGTAGTTAGTGGCACAGCTGGTCAGGAAGATCCCCTGGAGAAGGAAATGACAGCCCACTCCAGTATTCTTGCCTGGAAAATCCCATGGACAGAGGAGTCTAGCTGGCTGCAGTCCGTAGGGTCGCAAAGAGTAGAACACTACTGAAGTGACTTCACTATCTCTTTCACAAGTGTATCATAGTGTAGTTAGTGGCACAGCACACTAGGTCATTAACACAGATGCTCATTATTGTGCCGGTGAGAAAATTTTGTGCTGTAAGTACTGAACTTCTTTTCTTGCTCATCAGCCAGTGTGATTTCCAGCCTTTCCAGTGAATGGGTTTTATTGTAAGACAGATGCAGTCAGCATTAACAGTGAGACATGGCTGCCTAGAAATCCAGTCCAGTCTTAACTGCATCAATAAAGTGGAATGTCCTGGTGGATCATTTTGTCTTGTATGGCCTGTTAGGGATATTGTCTCCACTGGACCCCGTTTAAGATGTTTGTGGCCAAGTATATAATGAAGGGTCTAAAAACCAGTGGCTATGAGGAATTTTTAAAATATTTCACTGTAGTTCTGGAAAAGAGAAAAACTCAAAGTATGGAATGTGGTGGAAACATGGTGTTCTTCAAATATTTAAAGGGTTTTCTCCTGAGAGAAGGAGAGTTCACTTGGGCTACTCTCCCGTAGAAGTTGGAGAGATCAGTTCAACTCCAGATAAGGAAAACCCCTTTAAAATGCTTAACTTGCCCAGGCATCACACAGGCTGACTTTAAGGGGGATGGTTTCCCTCTTGCTGTAGTGTTCCAGCAGACACTGGTCTGCATTTGTTAGAGAAGTGTGTATAGGAATTCTACCTTTGATTAGGTACTTTTCTTTTTCTCCAAAAGCAAACAAAACATGAGTTTTAGTTCTTTTCTTGAGAGAGGATCTGCTGTATGAAAATTCAAGCTGCATTTCAAAATTTGACTTTAACAAATCACATTCTTTTTTTTAACCTTTATTAATTTATTTTTAAATATTATTTCTATTTCTGTTTGGAATAGAGAAATATAACTTTTTAAAAATGTATTCAAGCATATTGACTTTTTACCTTTTTGATATTTTCCATTACTTTTTTTCATTATTATTCTTTTCTAATTTAATTTATTTTTGTAATTGAAAGATAATTGCTTTTAGTATTTTGTTGGTTTCTGTCATACATCAGCATGAATCAGCCATGGATATATGTATGTCCCCTCCCTCTTATACTCCCTCCCAACAAATCCCATCCTTTAGAAGTTAATCTTTTGATAAAGTGTATGGAAGCAGAGAAGCCAGCTAGGAGGCTCTCTCATGAGTCTGGGTTAGAGGAGATCACGTGGGAACCTGGACGACAGTGGTTATGAGAAATGGTTAGACTTCGGACACAGTTTGCAGGTACAGTCAGCTGGTTGTGACCATAGGACAGCCTAAGCTTCTGAGTGAAGGATGACACCTTCACTTTGAGGTAGGAAGGAGAGGAGCAGGCTGGAAGGCACAGGGAATAGATCCCGTCTTGGCCACCTTCAGCTGCATTTATTGCTAGATTTTTAAAGTGTATGCACACATTATTTAACCAGAACCGTCCTTTCTTTTATTTTGACCCAGTAAATGCTTCCACTCTTCTTCTGGGAGCAGAGAGTCAACGTAAAATAAGTGTCCCGAAAGCTCCTACGAAGGACGAGGTGTCTCTCAGAGCTTACACCGCTCGGTGTAGGTTGAACAGGTTACGTCGTGCTGCGTGCCGCTTATTCACTTCTGAAAAAATGGTTAAGGCTATGAAAAAGCTTGAAATTGAAATTGAAGCTCGGCGGTTAATTGTTCGGAAAGACAGGCACCTCTGGAAAGATGTGGGTAAGAAGATTATAGAAATCTTGAGACTAATTCTTTAAAAACACTCTAGAAATTTTTTGTTTCTGAGTCAAATATGTATGTGCTTTCACTTGGCTGCCTAAAATTCCATAAACTTAAACAAGAGCATGTACATATATTAAAGAGTAGAAGTATACTTAAACATATTTCATGTATGTGATGTTCCTTTTTGGTCTCTGATTTCTCTCCATGAAATTGTATTCACTGTCTCATATTTGATTAGTGGCCTGAGCTTACTTGGTTTTATATGCGTTTCAGGAGAACGGCAGAAAGTCCTGAATTGGCTATTGTCATATAATCCTTTGTGGCTACGAATTGGCCTAGAGGTAAGTACACCTTCCAGTTTTTGAAAAAAGATCCTTTTTTAAAATATATATACATATATACTTTTAGTAGATTCTTTAATAAAATGATGGTTTCAGTTATCAAATTATTTGGTTACTTAATTAATCTCTCAGTATGAAATTTAAGGTCCCTTCATAAATGCTCATTAGGTTAATAGACCCTGTCATTCTATATTACTGCTATTTTGTTACATAGCTGTTTTCCCGTTAGTTTCTTATATATATAAAATTTGGTACCAGATGTGATAGCAAGTATAGTTAACTCCTTTCTGAGCATTTACCAATGACAATACTAGATTGTTTAAAACACATTAAATACATTTCCTAATTTAGATCTCTATAAAATCCAGTGAGGTATTTATTGTTATTCCAACTTCACTGACAGAACAGAAGCTGAGATGGTAAGTGACCTGCTGAATGCCAATGAAGGGGCAGGATTGGAATTCACACCAGTCTGAAGTCACCAGAAACATTTGATGGAACACTACTCATGAAAACATCAGAGTTTGAGTTTTTCACATGGTGTATGGTTCAATAATATTTAGAATGACAAAGCTAACTGAATTAGAAAGCCACTAGGAGTTGACTGTTAAAAATATTATTTTATTCCAACCCTCAGTGTTTCTATTCCCTTTAGTCTTTTACTGGCGAACTCTTGTATCTTGTTTAGGCTTTTTACCTTTGTCACGTGGGATATCCCATTCTTCAGTTTTTTCTAAGTTTTTGAATAGAAAAATCTTTTGTACTAAAAAGGAATTTTTACAATAATCTGGCTATTTATCAGAAAATTGAGGTGTTGAGAGAATGAATGATAATCCCACTATGGTCACCCAACTAGATAGTGAACTTGTTAAGATTTCTTACCTTAATTCTTATTTTCAATTGATTTGAAATTCAATGTCTCATTTCTTTCAATGAAAAGTTAATCAGAAAATTGCATATCAACTGGCTATGCTTCAGATATCAAAGAGTTCCAGAACCTCAATTAAAGTAGAACCTGTCTAGGGCTTCCCTGGTGGCACAGATGGTAGAGTAGGACCTGTCTATTTGGGGCATAGCTCTTTTGTGGCAGAGGTAAAGTGTAAGGAGAGTTAGAAACATGCAATGCCCTTTGAAGCTTCCTCTTAGACGTAGTGTGCATCACTTCATCCATAGTTCTATGCAAAGTGCATTATATGTTCAGACACAGATGAGGCAGAAATATTTATTCTTTCACAAGAGATACAGCAAATCTATGCAATTGGGTGGGAAAGGGGACTTCTAAAGGGAAGGGAGGAATGAATAATTATAAACAAAGCATTCTACCATCACACCTTAGAATTCTGTTAGGGGACATGACCTTTGAGGATCTTATGAAAGCATCACATGCAAAAAAAATAAGTAAATAAAGATAAAATGTCTCTATTTTGGCAGATATTAGTATTTTTCTATGCTTTTCTCTAGTTTTATCAATGTAAAGTTATAAAATACAATTTGATGTTTTTAGTTTTTTCTAATTGCTTTAAAAACCATTAACAATCACATTGATGTTAAACTAATGACATATTTTAATCCTTGATTATATACAGATCCGAACATCCCAAGTTATTGTCTTAGATGGTTTACAGATGGTTTTCCATTTGTTAACTACTAAAGCATTTAGAATCATTTAGGTGTGTGTTGTACCTTCATGATACACTTGCGGGACGTGCGTTCATGTGTGCTGAGTTGCTTCAATCGTGTCCGACTCTCTGTGACCCTGTGGACTGTAGCCCACCAGACTCCTCTGTCCATGGGATTCTCCAGGCAAGAATACTGGAGTGGGGTGCCATGCCCTCCTCCAGGGGATCTTCCCGACCCAGGGATTGAACCTGAGTCTCTCATGTCTCCTGCATTGGCAGGTGGGTTCTTTACCACTAGTGCCACCTAGGAAGCCCACTAACAGGACAGTTGTCATTCAATTTGAACAAGAAGGCTACATTTGATAGTTCTTAAAAGAAAAAATTGCAATATAAATATCACATATAATTTTTAAGAACTTATCTTAGTCATGAACATTTGTCTCTTCACTGTGAAGAAGAGTGCACTAAAAATTGCAGAGAACATCCATGTTCATCCCAAAGAGCCTGAGCGAACATCCGCGTTTCTCCCAAAGGAATCAGAACCTCGCCATTCTTAGACCAGCGTCGTCTGCCCCTCCCCTCTGCACCCCTATGCCCCGGAGAGACAGCACTGCCCTGACTTGGCTTGGGTTTCTTTTCAGACCATATACGGAGAACTGGTGCCTCTGGAAGACAACAGTGACGTCACGGGGCTGGCGCTGTTCATTCTGAACCGCCTGCTTTGGAATCCTGACATCGCAGCCGAGTACAGGCACCCGAGTGTCCCTCACCTGTACCGAGATGGTGGGTGGCTCTGCCTCCGTCATGTGCTCCCCACGCTGTGTGCAGAGGGCGTCCCGTCCTCACTGCTGTCTCTGTCCGACTTCACCTTCCAGAGAAACCTGTGTAAAAGGCCTCTCTCTCCACTGCCGTCTCGTTCTGCGGCCCTCGCCATCCCCCTTTCCCGCCTCCGCTCTAGCCCTGTCGGCCTTTGCGCCTGTCGTCTCCCCTCTCCACCTCACAAGTGGGCCTCACGCCCTGCGGAGGTCACGTCTGGCCTGCGCTGCCGCTGGCTCTGTGTCAGTATTCTTGGCCCCTAGGTCGGTGCCTGCAGCTGCCTCGTGATGCGTTTGTCCTATGAAGCTGGCTCAGTCTCTTGCTGTGTCTGCGCCTCAGTTTCTTCCATCAACTGGAAACATTAAATAGTACCTGCCCCGTAGAGCCGTCATCAGCCTGAAATGAATCTGTGCATGGAAAGCCCAAGAAAGACATGCAGTGTGCTCCTTGCGCTTATTATGGCTGTTTGGTTCTAGCAGATTGTAACTATCCTACTTTTATGTTATAAAAACTTGTCTTTTTATTTTTTTTAATTGAAGTAGAGTTGATTTACAATGTTATAGAAGTTTCAGCCGTTCAGCATAATGATTCATGATTTTGAAAGGCTATACTCCATTTATAGCTTTTATAAAATATTGGCTATATTCCCTGTGTTGTACAATATGTCCTTGTAGTTTATTTATTTTGTAAGTAGTAATTTGTACTTCTTAATCTCCTATCTCCGTCTTCCCCCACCTTCCCTCTTCTCACTGGTAGCCACTAGTTTGTTTTGTGTATCGCAAGTCTGTTTGTTTTTATCATATTCACTAGTTTGCTTTATTTTTTACATTCCACATATAAGTGATACCATGCAAACTCTTTTTACCATGCAAACTCTTTTTAGTTTTTTGAGTCATCTCCATACTGTCTTCCATAGTTGTTGCACCAATTTACGTTCCCCTGCCAAAAAAAAAAAAAAAAAAAAACCCAGAAAAAAGTGGTAAATAAATATAAGGAATTTTATAGACTTACAAAGAATTCCAAGATAATTTGACTTTAAAGTATAGGACACATCTCAAGAATCCTTTGCAGGAATATATAGACCAAAAGCATATCAGAATAAATAAATATAGAAAAATATTTCAGAACACCGCCCCCCCCCCACCCCAAGAAAAGAAAACCAAACTTGTCTTGCATAGATGAATGTGCTATGCCTTTTTGTACTTTATTTCAGGTCATGAAGAAGCTCTGTCTAAGTTTACATTGAAAAAGCTATTATTGTTGGTTTGTTTCCTTGATTATGCTAAAATCTCTAGACTTATTGATCATGATCCTTGTCTCTTCTGTAAAGATGCCGAGTTCAAGGTATGTTTTCATCTTATATTTTTTATTTCACATATAAGACTTTTGTTTGTTTTTATTGTGTATTTTCTCCTCAGAAAAAGTGATTTTCCCAAAGAATACTAGTCTGATTCTTTGCAACCCCATAGACTATATACATATACAGTCCATGGAATTCTCCAGGCTAGAATACTAGACTAGAGTGGGTAGCTTTTCCCTTCTCCAGGGGACCTTCCCAACCCAGGATCTAACCCAGGTCTCCCGCATTGCAGATGGATTCTATATCAGCTGAGCCACAAGGGAAGCCCAATAGTTTTCATCCTATATTTTATATTTCACATATAGAATTTTGTTTGTTTTTATTGTATATTTTCTCCTCAGAAAAAGTGATTTTCCCAAAGAACAGTACTTTGGAGTGGAACAGAAATGCCTGCCCAGCAGTTCTAACCCTGTCTAGCTTGTTGGTTGACATTTCAAGAGTGCATCACCCTGTTCTTAGCTTTGCTTTGAGAATGAATATAACGGTGCTTCTGAGAAATTAATTTGGGAGAAAATGTCTTTCCTAATTTAGTATGCTATCAAATTAATTCTAATTTTTAGAGTGTATTATTTTAGAATGATGATATTGGACTATAATACCTTCTGCTTGTTTCTCCACAGGCCAGTAAAGAAATCCTTCTGGCTTTTTCACGAGATTTCCTAGGTGGTGAAGGTGACCTTTCCCGTCACCTGAGCTTACTGGGATTTCCTGTGACCCACGTCCAGATGCCTTTCGATGAATTTGATTTTGCTGTTAAGAATCTTGCTGTAGACTTACAATGTGGGGTGCGTCTCGTGTGAGTATAAGAAATGGAATTATGTCTCTCCCTAGAATAGACTAAAATTTTCTGGAAGACACTATTTTCTATACACACACAATCCCTCTTGCTCCTTCATGTAATGGGATAAATCTAGGGTTTGAAAAAGTTGGGGTAAGTTCAGGAAAATGGTGTGAATTTTAGGCCAGGAAACCTTGTCCCCTATCCACATTGTTCCCTGCTGGCAGGTGATGAGGTCTGAGTAGGAGCCACTGACGCCCCAGAATAGGAGTTGGGGAAAGCATGGGGCTAATTAAATAGCACTTTATCTGCAGTGGTTTCATGACTTCTACATCATTTGAGACCAATTTTAGTTGTGTTAACCATGTTGCACATGTAAGGATGCAGCCCTGAAATTAAAAGATGCTTGCTCCTTGGAAGGAAAGCTATGACAAACTTAGACAGTGTATTAAAAAGCAGAGACATCACTTTGCCAACAAAGGTCCATATAGTCAAAGCTAAGGATTTTCCAGTAGTCATGTATGAATATGAGAATTGGACCATAAAGAAGGCTGAGCACCGAAGAACTGATACTTTCAGATGTTGGTGCTGGAGAAGACTCTTAAGAGTCCCTCAGACAGCAAGGAGATCAAAGCAGTCCATACTAAAGGAAATCAACCCTGAATATTCATTGGAAGGACTGATGTTGAAGCTGAAGTTCCAATACTTTGGCCACCAAATGCGACGAGCCAACTCATTGGAAAAGACCCTGATGCTGGGAAAGATTGAGGGCACAGAGAATGAGATGGTTGGATGGCACCACTGAATCAATGGGCTTGAGTTTGAGCAAACTCCAGAAGATGGTGAAGGACAGGGAAGCCTGGCATGCTGCAGTCCACGGGGTCACAAAGAGTCGGACAAGACTTAGTGACTGAACAACAACAACACTTGAGGAGAAGGGAGATGAAGACATGGTATGGTTTGCCCAGGTTTTACACGGCCGTGGTAGTGGGCATCAGCTCATGACATCCAGCTACTCTAACACACTAGAGTCCTAGGCATTGGCTCTGATGTGACAACTGTGAGACACCACTGCCTTCTTTGGAAGGAGCAGCCTTTACACTGTGCCTCAGGTGGCTTCTTTACAATGTGTGACTTGAAGGCATCCTTCTTGTTTCTAAGAAAATCTCTATATTATGTCTGACATTTGTGAGGAAGTTATCCCTGTATCTTTGTGAATCCCCAGTTCTTCACAAATAGCATACATGGGACTTCCTTTGGTAGTTTAGTGATTAAGAATTTGCCGTGCAGTGCAAGGGATGCAGGTTTGATCCCTGGTTGGGGAACTGAGATCCTACGTGCCTTAGAGCAGAGAAGACCCAGCACAGCAAAACAAACAAACAATAACAGCACACATGTCTCTGGTTGCCTTCTAAATTAAATTTCCATGAACCTTCTTTTCTTTTCTAATCATCTGTCTGATCTCGTGACAAAGTAATAGTCTTGAACTTAGACCCTGATGCTGGGAAAGATTGAGGGCACAGAGAATGAGATGGTTGGATGGCACCACTGAATCAATGGGCTTGAGTTTGAGCAAACTCCAGAAGATGGTGAAGGACAGGGAAGCCTGGCATGCTGCAGTCCACGGGGTCACAAAGAGTCGGACAAGACTTAGTGACTGAACAACAACAACACTTGAGGAGAAGGGAGATGAAGACATGGTATGGTTTGCCCAGGTTTTACACGGCCTTGGTAGTGGGCATCAGCTCATGACGTCCAGCTACTCTAACACGCTAGAGTCCTAGGCATTGGCTCTGATGTGACAACTGTGAGACACCACTGCCTTCTTTGGAAGGAGCAGCCTTTACACTGTGCCTCAGGTGGCTTCTTTACAATGTGTGACTTGAAGGCATCCTTCTTGTTTCTAAGAAAATCTCTATATTATGTCTGACATTTGTGAGGAAGTTATCCCTGTATCTTTGTGAATCCCCAGTTCTTCACAAATAGCATACATGGGACTTCCTTTGGTAGTTTAGTGATTAAGAATTTGCCTTGCAGTGCAAGGGATGCAGGTTTGATCCCTGGTTGGGGAACTGAGATCCTACGTGCCTTAGAGCAGAGAAGACCCAGCACAGCAAAACAAACAAACAATAACAGCACACATGTCTCTGGTTGCCTTCTAAATTAAATTTCCATGAACCTTCTTTTCTTTTCTAATCATCTGTCTGATCTCGTGACAAAGTAATAGTCTTGAACTTTACTGTAGCTTCCTCTCAAGTAATTTCTAAATGGCTGGAGCACTTGCTGAGAATGTTCTCCACACTATTTTTATATTTAATTTTAGTTTGTTCATTTCATAAATCCAAACCAACACATCTGTTTTCTGGCCAATAGCAATTCACAATTTGAAACTTTTTCCCAAAAAAAAGAAAAAAACTTTTCCCACTGTCTGGGAGGAGCAGTGATTGGCTTCATGTTCGGTGTAATTTTGTGATGATGAAAGACATTTTTTGTTCTTTTATAGGCGCTACTGAGGACTTCCCAGTGTTGGGTGTAGATGCTTTGTCATTGCCAGGAACTCTCACTGGTTAAAAGACTCGATCTTGCTTGACAAGCTTCTGTTTTCTTGTGTGTCCCCACAATAAGCATAGGTCTCGGAGGTCATTTGAGGTCACTTGGGAAGAGTTAATCCACTGACGCTGTAGGTGACGGTCAGTCGGTCAGTCTAGTGTTGCAGAAATGCTTTAGACGCTGATTGAGTGGTTGACCTACACTGATCTTATGTTGCTTCCTGACGTTTAGAAATTATGGTTCTGTAAACAAGTTTGCCAAAATTTAACCAGACACAGTCATTTGTTGGGCTCGATTTTTCTGTGGAAACAATGATTTTTGTCTAGTGTAAAACACTAGATGATATTAGGAGTTTGAATTTAAACTGTGGTACAAATGATTTTTTAAGGTAAGCACTCAAATATTTTTGCTTTATCTGGTATAAATATTTTCTTTTTTTTTTTTTTCATTTATTTTTATTAGTTGGAGGCTAATTACTTTACAATCCCTCATTGTTAGGCGAACTATGGAACTTCTCACGCAAAACTGGAATCTTTCAAAGAAACTCAGAATTCCTGCAATAAGTCGTCTTCAAAAGATGCACAATGTTGACATCGTTCTTGAAATTCTTAAATCACGAGGAATTCCGTTGAATGATGAGCATGGTAAAAACCAAGTAACGATAAAAGCTTTCTTCTCACTGAAAATCAAGTTGTATGTACTTTGTGCTAACGGACTCTTTCCATTTGCAGGAAATGCAATCCTGTCTAAGGATATTGTGGACAGACACAGAGAGAAAACCCTGGCGTTGCTTTGGAAGATAGCATTGGCTTTTCAGGTACTGTACATTTGGTGTGTTTTGTACTTTTTGTCAGTTTTCAATATTGACTTATAAAAGTCTTTTGTGTCAAATAAAGACTAGCAGCAGTGGCTGTTACTAGCTAGACTATTCTGTCCCAAGAACCGCGCTCATGGCTTTATGTGCACTCCAATGTAATCTTCACAAGGCCCCCAGTAGGTCACTATGTCATTTCTTTATGTGGGGGGGCTAGAGCTAAGGGTTGCTCACTGATCAGACACAGAGACAGATCAGATCCCTGACTTAGGTGAACACAGATCCCATGCACTCAAGCACTTACACGTTCCATGACTTCCTTGTAGACTGCGTTTGCCTTAAAAAAATATTGATAGTAGCAGACTTGAACTTTTGTGGGTCAAAAATAATATATGAAAAATATGGTATTTATCCTCTTTTTGTATTCCAGGTGGATATTTCCCTTAATTTAGATCAGTTAAAGGAAGAAATTGACTTTTTAAAGAACACACAGAGTATGAAGAAAACAATGTCTGCACTGTCATGCCGTCCTGATGCTATTATCAGTAAGAAAAGAGACGAAAGGCATAGCGGTCCCTTTGAACAATACAGTGAAAGTGTAAAGCTGCTGATGGATTGGGTAAATGCTGTCTGTGGCTTCTATAATAAAAAAGTAAGTTCTGTGTTTTTGTTTTAGCCTAATTTCTTTAAGCAAATTTTGGTTAAAATCAAATAAACAGTGCATGAAATATTTTCTTTAATTGCTTTTCTTTAATGTCATATAAGGTAGTAGAATTTTATTACTATATACATTATTTATAGAGATTTTTATATGATGTATTTATATATGTATATATTAATACATAATAATTAACATATAATTATATAACTATAATGATACATCTTATTGTACAGATTTATTATATGATAATACAGATGCTAATATAATTTATATTATAAACAATATGGTGTTAATACCAATTAAAAATTATAATAATAATGATGCTGATGAATTTCTTTTTTTCTTGTTTTTCTTATTGGCGTATAATGGCTTCAGTGTGTTCATTTCTGCCATACAGCAAAGCAAGTCAGTTACATGTATCCCCTCCTAATTAGTATGTACAAGCAAACTTTTCTTCTAATGAGTAAGGGTGCCATCACATACCTAGTTTCATCAAATCTGTCACCAGTTGTGTAATACATGGTTATTTTATGTCTCACTAGGGAAGAAAGTGCCCTAGTTGGCAGTCTTAAAAGGAGATGCTTGCACGGAACTAGGGCGCCAGAGGACCACAGCCGTCTGACAGAGTGAAGTCACTCCGCTGAGTCTTTGCAGCCCCACGGACGGCAGCCCGCCAGGCTCCTCTGTCCCTGGGGTTCTCCAGGCAAGAGTGCTGCAGTGGCTTGCCATTTCCTTCTCAGGGGATCTTCCTGATCCAGGGATCGAACCCGGGCCTCCCACACTGTAGACAGGCTCTTTACTGTCTGAGCCACCAGGGGAATGCTTATTACAGAGGTGAATGCAAATAAACCCACTCTGCACAATAGCACATTAGAGAATTTTGCCCCACTGGGTAGAGAGGGAGGAAATAGTCTCCCTCTAACAAATAATCATTTGTTAGATTGATCCTGCATTGCTGTATGAAATGTATGTTTAAGCATAAATACATGAAAACAAATGGTCCTGATGCACATGAATAACATATCCTGTAAGGAATGTAAGACAGAAAAACTGTCAGATGTGTGATCGTCTATGTTTTAAGTAAGTCCTGAAGAGACCCGAAGACCCTGGTACTGCAGCACTGTGTCCATGCCTTTCTCTTGACTCCAGGCCCTTCCTTTCCTAGGTCTGTAGACACAGCACTCCATTCCCTGCCTGTCTTCACGTGGCATTTTCCCTCTGTGTCTTGTCTCTGTGTCTCTCTCCCTTTTTCATAAGGGCAGCAGTCATAGCAGATTAAAACCTCATCTTACTCTAGTGTGATCCCATCTTAACTGTTTATATCTGCAATGACTCTATGTCCAAACAAGATCAGATCCTAACAGTCTGGGAAGGACATGAATTTTGGATGAACACTATCCAACCCAGCACAATAATATTTTAGAGGAGAGAATTTGGCCATGAATGTGGTAGTATACAGTATAACTTCCCAGCTGGCTCAGTGGTAAAGAATCTGCCTGCCAGTGCAGGAGACGTGGATTTGATCCCTGGGTTGAGAAGATGCCCAGGAGAAGGCAATGGCAAGCCCTTTCCAGTATTCTTGCCTGGGGAATTCCATGGACATAGGAACCTGACAGGCTACAGTCCATGTGTTCACAAAGTGTCAGATACACCTGGGCATACACATGGTATTATACTAGGTGCTACTATAAATTAGCATGCTAGTCCTAGCTATTAAAAGGAAATGTGGACTGTAAAACCATCAGTATCTGTATTCTTACCTAAATACAATCCATTCTTTTTCTAATATTTCTCATCAGGTGGAGAACTTCACAGTGTCTTTCTCGGATGGCCGGGTGTTGTGTTACCTGATCCACCACTACCATCCTTGCTATGTTCCTTTTGATGCCATATGTCAGCGAACCACCCAGACCGTGGAGTGCACACACACTGGTTCCGTGGTGCTGAATTCATCATCTGAATCTGATGGAAGTTTTCTGGATTTGTCTCTTAAATCACCTGATCAGGGTTAGTCCCTTTCACTTAATTTACTTCTCCATTGTTTTCATTGGCCTGTCTGATTTCTGGCCATCACAGTCTAATCTGATTGGTTTTACTTGCATTGCAGAAAATAGTTCAGAACTATACAAAGAACTCCTAGAAAACGAAAAGAAAAATTTTCAGTTGGTTAGGTCTGCAGCTAGAGACCTTGGTGGAATACCTGCCATGATCCATCACTCAGATATGTCAAACACAATCCCTGATGAGAAGGTAAAGTAAAAGTTCCTTAACAGTAATAACTCTTAGTAATCAGAGTCTCAGATGATAGGTAGTTTCATGCTCTCTGTCTCATAGAAACTTCTGTCTTCATCTTTCATGTTCTCTCTTAGGTGGTGATTACCTATTTGTCATTTCTTTGTGCAAGGCTTTTGGATCTTCGTAAAGAAACAAGAGCTGCTCGACTTATACAAACAACTTGGAGACAATATAAGCTAAAAAAAGATCTAAAACACCATCAGGTACTCCTCAAAAATGATGTGTGTGTGTGCTCAGCCACTCGGTTGTGTCCAACTCTTTGAGACCCCAGTGGACTGTAGCCCACCAGGCTCCTCTGTCCATGGGATTTCTCAAGCAGGAATACTGGAGTGGGTTGCTATTCCCTTCTCCAGGGGATCTTCCTCACCCAGGTTCCAACCCATATCTCTCGTATCTCCTGCATTGGCAGGTGGGTTCTTTACCGCTGAGCCACCTGGGAAGCCCAGTCAGTAATGAAATACTATAATGTAAATTGTTCATAAAATGTCAGCTGAATGATTCTTGATATTGTGTTTACATTTTACTGACGTAGGAAATTACCAAGGTGATTTTCATGATTGTGTGTGTTTCGAGTAGGGGATGAATATTTCTCCCTAATCTCCAATGTTTCCTTCACTGAGTATTTTTTCCAGGCTTTGTCCTTCCTTTCACTGTGCTCCAGGGGACATGGAATAACTCAGGCACACTGTGAATTTGTGAAAAGTAAACTGGGGTTGTCTGACTCGCCTTTTCCCTCCTCCCTCTTGTACTCTGATGTGCCTCCAGGAAACAGGAGCTTTCCTTTCAGTTTTCGTGCTGTGCTTGGGGAGGCTTGCCCTCAACCAGTGCCTCTCTGGCCTGGGTGTCACCTGCCGGATTCTGCAGTTCAATTAGCCAAGCTCATTCTGTCTGCCATGAAACTGTCTTCCAGGCTATCCTTTGTTAGTTTAAAAGTGGCATTTTGGTTTCCATCACTTAATTTCTCGGAACATTTAGGACCTGAGCACAGGGAGAAGGGTTGTCCCTCTGTGTCCCTGATACTGTGAATTTTGCATTAACATAAAATAAGTGTTTTCTTGAGTTTGGGAAAAAATGTCATTTTTAACAATATTAGAAATGGTCTCCTTGGACAAACTGAATAAACTATTTTAATCCTTTACTTTTTTCACTAATAATGCTGTATTTATTCAGAGAAAGCAAAAGAAGTATTCATGTTTAATAAATCTTAGCAGGTATTTCAGAAATATATTTCACCCACAATTGCTCCTTAGTTCTGAATTACAGTGTATTTATGATAATGTTCTTAGTACCTGTAAAGTAGCTAAATTTTGGTGATTCATATCATACCATTTATTCTCTTCCACTATTTCAGACCTGGGTTGTTGTCATTGTTCAGTCGCTTAGTCCCATCCAACTCTTTGCGACCCCATGAACTGCAGCACACCAGGCTTCCCTGTCCTTCACTATCTCCTGGAGCTTGCTCAAACTCATGTCCATTGAGTCGATGATGCCATCCAACCATCTCATCCTCTGTTGTCCGCTTCTCCTCCTGCCATTAATCTTTCCCAGCATCAGGGTCTTTTCCAATGAGTGGGCTCTTCGCATATGGTGGCCAGATTTAGAATGGTGCACTGTCCCACACAGCAACACAGAGGGTCGTCAGACAGCCTGTAAGTTGTTCCTTTCCACCAGAGGAATAATTTATATTTATATTCCTGTTTCTAATTCGAGTGAAGGGAAGTAATAAATCTAGCCTTACGGAGTAGCAAAGTGATTAGGAGCACGAACTCTGAAGCCAGGCTGCCTACGTCAAATCCTGGCTGGCTGACCCCTGGGGGACCAGCTGTCTACTTGACCTCCCTGCTTGGGTTTCCTCACGGCCATGAGAGTAGGGCTGGTTGATTTGTTCTCACGGTCGTTGTGAGGTTGGATGGCTCATGCTCGCAGTATTTAGAATGGTGCCTGATACCTGGCATTTAACCTGTTACTATTCACTATAATTCATTATTAGAAGTAGAGATATGCAGGGCGCTGGCCTCTGGAGCTCCCAGGCAGTCAGCTCCTTTTCGGACACTGACACTGCAGGCAGTCCTGACACCACTTGTCACAGCCCCGAGCTCTGTCCTCTTGAGCCTCTATACTTAAAGCCACAGTGTATTCTGGGGGTAAATGGGGAGGCTTGCCCTCAACCAGTGCCTCTCTGGCCTGGGTGTCACCTGCCGGATTCTGCAGTTCAATTAGCCAAGCTCATTCTGTCTGCCATGAAACTGTCTTCCAGGCTATCCTTTGTTAGTTTAAAAGTGGCATTTTGGTTTCCATCACTTAATTTCTCGGAACATTTAGGACCTGAGCACAGGGAGAAGGGTTGTCCCTCTGTGTCCCTGATACTGTGAATTTTGCATTAACATAAAATAAGTGTTTTCTTGAGTTTGGGAAAAAATGTCATTTTTAACAATATTAGAAATGGTCTCCTTGGACAAACTGAATAAACTATTTTAATCCTTTACTTTTTTCACTAATAATGCTGTATTTATTCAGAGAAAGCAAAAGAAGTATTCATGTTTAATAAATCTTAGCAGGTATTTCAGAAATATATTTCACCCACAATTGCTCCTTAGTTCTGAATTACAGTGTATTTATGATAATGTTCTTAGTACCTGTAAAGTAGCTAAATTTTGGTGATTCATATCATACCATTTATTCTCTTCCACTATTTCAGACCTGGGTTGTTGTCATTGTTCAGTCGCTTAGTCCCATCCAACTCTTTGCGACCCCATGAACTGCAGCACACCAGGCTTCCCTGTCCTTCACTATCTCCTGGACCTTGCTCAAACTCATGTCCATTGAGTCGATGATGCCATCCAACCATCTCATCCTCTGTTGTCCGCTTCTCCTCCTGCCATTAATCTTTCCCAGCATCAGGGTCTTTTCCAATGAGTGGGCTCTTCGCATATGGTGGCCAGATTTAGAATGGTGCACTGTCCCACACAGCAACACAGAGGGTCGTCAGACAGCCTGTAAGTTGTTCCTTTCCACCAGAGGAATAATTTATATTTATATTCCTGTTTCTAATTCAAGTGAAGGGAAGTAATAAATCTAGCCTTACGGAGTAGCAAAGTGATTAGGAGCACGAACTCTGAAGCCAGGCTGCCTACGTCAAATCCTGGCTGGCTGACCCCTGGGGGACCAGCTGTCTACTTGACCTCCCTGCTTGGGTTTCCTCACGGCCATGAGAGTAGGGCTGGTTGATTTGTTCTCACGGTCACTGTGAGGGTGGATGGCTCATGCTCGCAGTATTTAGAATGGTGCCTGATACCTGGCATTTAACCTGTTACTATTCACTATAATTCATTATTAGAAGTAGAGATATGCAGGGCGCTGGCCTCTGGAGCTCCCAGGCAGTCAGCTCCTTTTCGGACACTGACACTGCAGGCAGTCCTGACACCACTTGTCACAGCCCCGAGCTCTGTCCTCTTGAGCCTCTATACTTAAAGCCACAGTGTATTCTGGGGGTAAATGAGGATATTTTGCCTCTTTTTTTCTTTTCTGTGAATTCCTTTCTTCAAATTGCAGCAAAACAATACTTCCAGAACTTTCCTGGCAGTCCAGCGGTTAAAACTCCTAGCTTCCAATACAGGAGGTGTGGGTTCAATCCCTGGTCGGGGAACTAAGATCCCACATGCTGTGAGGTGTGGCCAAATAAGTAAATACACATTAATGATAAATAAACCCAGTACATCCAATTAAAAACAAAAAACAATACTTCCTTATACTATAAAGCATTTTGTTTATTTGAGTCTCTTTTTCCTTTCTTTTTTCTCCTCCTTTGTTGTTCAGTCACTCAGTCATGTCTGACTCTTTGCAACCCCATGGACTGCAGCATGGTAGACTTCCCTGTCCTTCAACTATGTCCCAGAGTTTGCTCAGACTCATGTCTACCGAGTTGATGATGCCATCCACCCATCTCATTCTCTGTTGTCCCCTTCTCCTCCTGCCCTCAATCTTTCCCAGTATCAGAGTCTTTTCCAAGGAGTCAGCTCTTCACATCAGGTAGCCAAAGTATTGGATCTTTGGCTCAGCGTCAGTCCTTCCAATGGATATTCAGGATTGATTATCTCCTTTAGGATTGACTGGTTTGATCTCCTTGCTGACCAAGAGACTTTCAAGAGTCTTCCCCAGCACCACAATTTGAAAGCATCAATTCTTTGGTGCTCAGCCTTCTCTATGGTCCAACTCTCATATGTGAACATGACTATAGCTTTGACTGTATAGCCCTTTATTGGCAAACCCTGTCCCAAAAATAAGCATGAACTCACCTCACCGTAATCTGAGACACTGTTGTTGTTGCTTAGTTGCTCAGTTCTCTAACTCTTCTGACCCTGTTGACTGCAGCCCACCAGGCTCCTCTGCCCATGCGATTTCCCAGGCTAGCATACTGGAGTGGCTTGGCATTTCCTCCTCTAGGGGATCTTCTCGACCCAGGGATCAAACCCACATCTCCTGTGTCTCCTGCATTCCCAGGTAGATTCTTTACCACTGAACCACCTGGGAAGCCCAATCTAACTTCTTACAAATAATAGCTTAGGGTTTCAAGTGATTGTTTAATTCATATTTGCCTTTTTTTTTTCTTTTAGGAGAGAGACAAAGCTGCAAGAATTATTCAATCAGCTATAATCAATTTCCTCACTAAACAACGATTTAAAAAGAAGGTCAGGGCAGCATTGGTCATTCAGAAATATTGGCGAAGAGCCTTAGCAAAGAAAAAACTATTAATGTTGAAAAAGGCAAAACTAGAAAGAGTTCACAGTAAATCAGCATCTATTATTCAGGTATGGTATTCTGAATTTTTAGATTTAAAAACGTTTAATGACATTTTTAAGAGAGTAAAATATGATAAAGTTTTAAATTAAATTTTAGGCTTCTATATTTTATCTAACACTTTAACACATATTTGGTATCTCCCCACCACATGTAAAACTCCTGGCTGTGTTCAACATGAGGATAAGCAAATCGAAGCACCTGCTTGGCTCTGACAGGGGGAGCAGTTTACTTCTGTGCCCGTGCTGACTTGTCTGTCTTACACTTTGCTGTTGCTGCTCAGCTGCGCAGTCACGTCCAGCTCTTTGAGACCCATGGACTGCAGCATGCCAGGCTTCCCTGTCCTCCACCCTCTCCTGAAGTTAACTCAAATCCATGTCCATTGAGTTGGTGATCCAACCATCTCATCCTTTGTCGCCCCCTTCTTCTCTTGTCATCAGTCTTTCCCAGCATATGATATCCTACAATTTACTCATCAGTTCTATTGTTGATGGATATCTGGGTTTCTGGTTTTGAGCTGTATAACTAAAGGTTTTATGAATGTGCCTTTTGGTGTGAAATATATACACTGTTTGGCGCATACCTACGAGTACAGTTGTTTGCCTTAAGGCAGATGTGTTTCAGTTTTAGTAGATACTGACAAGGAGTCTTCTAAGGTGGTTATAGGACCACCTGTTGTTTAAAATACTTGGAGGTTATCTCTTTAATTTCAGTGATTCTAGTCAGTGTGTAGTGGTACCTTAGAATAGTTTAAATTTGCATTTTGTTGATAATGAATGACATTGAACATCTCTTCACATTGAAAATCTTTTGTGAAGTGTTTTTTCAAGGATCTTTTTTTTCCATTTTTTATTTTGGTTGTTTGCCTTCTTGTGGATTTGTGTGAGATCTTTACATATTCTGGTTATTGCTCCTTGTTGGATATGTATGTTGTAAATATCTTCTCCCAGACCATTACTTATAGTTTTATATCTTTCCAGTAAAAATTCTTAATTTTCTTCTGTGGTTAGTGGGTTGTGTGTGTGTGTTTTTTTTTTTAACCATTTGAGGAGTACTTGTTTAACTACTAAGACCTTGAAGATATTCTCCTATACTATATTCTATTCTGAAAGCATTAATGTGTTGTCTTTCACTTTTAGATCTCTCTTGAAATTCATTTCTGCATCTGATTTGTGCTATGGACCCTATTTCTTTTTGTATATATGTATAGCCGTTGTTTCAGTTTCAGGTCACTGAAATGACCACCCTCCCCTCATTGCCGTGCTACCTGTAGTGCACATCAAGTCTTCTTTTGCTGCCCAGTGCAGTGTGTGGGGTCTTAGCCCCCCAACAGACTGAACCCCCATCCCCAGCAGCGGAAGCCAGCGTCCTGACGGCTGCACTGCCTGGGAATTTCCCTAGCACGGATTCTTACACGTGTGGTTCTGTTTCTAGAATTATTTACTATTTCATTGTTCCTTTTGTCTACCATTGAACCATACACTCTAGCTTTATAAGAAATCTGAACGTCTGGTAGACAAAGACTTCTTTTGTTTTCTTTAAGAAGTTTTTAGCTATCCTAAGTCTTCTGCATTTTCTTACAGATTTTGAATCTGAAGTTTAAAAAATATCAGGATTTGAGATTTAACTGAATATGTCAGTTTAGTTAGAATTGATACTTTTAGCTACTGAACATGGTATTAATAAATACCTATTTATTCAGGCCTTCTTTAAAAGCCTCCTAAAATGGTTTTATTATCTGATGCAAGAAGTCTTAAATACGTTTACTTAGACATAATATCCATTTTTTAAAATTTAAATTTAATAAATTTTAACTTTATGCAGATCAAAATTAAAATTTTAATTTTCAAATTATTAATAATACTCAGTAAAATGTGCATGTCTTTTTTGGTGTGCAGTTACACAGATTTAAACACACACACAGGTTTTGAACAGTCCATCTCCCAGAAGAACTTTTGCATTCCATTTCTCTGTGGTCCGTTCTTCCTCCACACCCATGCACCAAGCTCTGTTCTCTATTACTATAGTTTTGCATTTTAAAAAATATCACATAATGGAGCCTTACAATAGGTAAGCCTTTGAGACTGGCTTTTTTTCTCTCTGCAAGAGGCCTCTGAGCCTCATCCAAGTTGTCGCACGTATCAGTGGTTTATTCTCCTTCATTGCTCAGTAGTGTTCCCTGGTATGGTTGTCCCACAGTTTGATTATATATTTATCTGTTGAAGGATATTTGCATTGTTTCCAGTTTTAGGTGATTTCATTCTGTTAGGGTAAATATCTAGGAATGGGATTGCTGGGTCTTTTGGTAAGTATATGTTTAGCTTTATAGTTCAGTTCAGCCGCTCAGTTGTGTCCAACTCTTTGCGACCCCACAGACTGCAGCACGGCAGGCCTCCCTGTCCATCACCAACTCCCGGAGTTTACTCAAACTCATGTCCATTGAGTCGGTGATGCCATCCAACCATCTCATCCTCTGTCGTCCCCTTCTCCTCCTGCCTTCAATCTTTCCCAGCATCAGGGTCTTTTCAAATGAGTCAGTTCTTCGCATCAGGTGGCTAAAGTATTGGAGTTTCAGCTTCAGCATCAGTCCTTCCAATGAATATTCAGGACTGATTTCCTTTAGGATTGACTGGTTGGATCTCCTTGCAGTCCAAGTGACTCTCAAGACTCTTCTCCAATACCACAGTTCAAAAGTATCAGTTCTTTGGCACTCAGCTTTCTTTATGGTCCAACTCTCAGAGCCATACATGACTGCTGGAAAAACCATAGCTTAGACATCACCAAACCGTCTAGACTGGCTTATTCGATTTTGCATGCCTACCCACAGTTCAATTAGAACCCAATTAGTAAGAGTTCTAGTTGCTCCATATCCTCAGCAACGCTGATCACTTGTATTTTACCCATTCTGATAAGTGTGTAGTGGTCTCTTGGTTTTAATTTGCGTTTTCTCAAAGGCTATGTATATGTTTTCAAATGCTTAATTGTCTTTCAGTCATTTATAAAGTGTGTTGAAATATTTTGACCATTTTTATAATTGAGTGCTAATCTTATTGAGTTTTGAGATTTCTTTCTATATACTGGATACAAGTTCTTTGTCAGTGATTTTTCTGCAAATGTTTTACAGAAAAAGTTGGTCCTTGGTCTTGGTGAATGTTCTGTGTACTGGAAAAGAACGTGTATTCTGTTATTGTTGGGAGTAGTGTTCTATAAATGTCAGGTCTATAGTTCTTTTATGTCCTTACTGATGTTCTGTTTACTTATTCTTGTGCCAAGAAAGCAGTATTTAAGTCTCCAACATAATTGTGGATATTGTCTTTCATGTATTTGAAGATGTTTTGTTAGGTGTGTACACATTTGGAATTGTTCTGTCCTCTAGGTGAGTTGAGTTTTTTATCATTGTTTATTGTTCCTTTTTATCCCTCATAATTTTCTTTGTTCTAAAGTCTACTTTGCATGTTCTTACTATAACCAAACTAGTTTTCACTTGATTATCATTTGCAGGGTGTATTTTTTCCTTTATTTTATTTATTAGTTACTTAAATCATTATATACGGCTTGAAGTCTTGAGAGCATTTAGTTTTTATGTTTTGAAAATCTCTGTCTTTTAATTGGTGATTTAGGCCATTTATATTTCAGACATTTATCAATATGTTTGTGCTTTGGTCTGTCATTTTATCATTTACTTTCTGAATGTTAGCTTTCTTTCATTTTTCTCTTTCCCCTTTCCTGTCTCTTCAATTATTTGAATACTTTTTAGTGTTTCATTTTAGTTTATCTTTTTTTGTTTTAATTATTATTTTATTCCTTTGTACAGGGATTTTTTTTGGGAGATTTTTTTTGTGTTTTTTGGTTTTTTTTGGGGGGGGTCTTTTTTTTTGTTTTGTTTTTTGGTTGGTATAGGCATTTCAGTATACAAAACCTTTACTTAGAATCAATACTTTATCACTGTTAAATGGAATGTAGAAAACTTACCACTATCTAGATCCCTTTGCTCCCCTCCCTCATTTTAATGTTCTAGCAGCGACTTAGCAGCAGTAGCAGCAGCAGCAGTTTTATTTATTAAACTTACATACAACTGAAACCACATCAGGCAATATTATAATTTTTGCTTCTAATCATAATAAAATTTTAAGGAGTACATGAGAATCATATTCTATTTGTGCAGATTTTTATCATTTCTGTTGCTTTGCTTTCTTTTTTTATGGTATAGTATTTGCAATTTATGAACCAACAATGATGCATTATAATTAACTGAAGTCCTTAGTTTCCAAGGGTTTCACTATTTATGTGGTATAGTTATGTGTTTGACAAAAATCCTGCCCTAATAATCCTTTCTGCTTTACATGTTCATCTCTTACCCTTCCTCAAAATCCTTGGCAACCACTGTTGTTTTTCTGTCTCCCATTTTTGCTTTTTCCAGGATGTCCTATAGTTTGAATTCAGAGATATATTGCCTTTTCAGATAGATTCTCTCACTTCACAAACACACATTTAAGTTTAAATAGTCTTTTCCTGCCTCAGTAGCTTATTTCTTTTTATCACTGAATGCCATTCCATTTTATAGATATACTACGGCTGTTTATCCATTTGCCTATTGAAGGATATATTGGTCGAGACAAGTTTTTCCCCAATCATTTTTTTCCCTTTCTTGTTCCGCATTGATACTTTGCATTGATCTTCAAGTTCATTGACTCTTCTGTCATCTGCATTCCACTACTGATCCATCCCAGTGAGGTTTTGTTGTTGTTTTGGTTATCGTGTTTTTTAGTTCTGATATTCCCATCTGGTTCTTAGTTGTATCTTTGATTTTTTTATCTGGGCTTTTTAATCCTTCCATTAGTTCCCACCCCATCTTAGCAATATTTGGAGTGTTTTGGACAGAAGAGTCATCTTACAGCTAGAGCAGACTGTCCAGAGCTTAATGACCAGCAGCCAGGATCTGCTCGAACTTCACAGCTTGCACATTGCTGGGATAATTACAGGGTTAGGGAACAGGGGGTGCTGGGAAGGAAGCAGACGGCAAACGGCTTCTTACTCCTCAAGTCTTTCCAGAATTACACTTTTTAACCATGTAACTAGAATTCCTGAATTTTATTCTTAATGAAAATACTGACTCAGAAAGTGATCTGGCTCACTTATTTCTCAAAACTGTCTGTTGACATTTGTTGTTGTTCAGTTGCTAAGTCATGCCTGATTCTTTGTGATCCCAGGGACTGCAGCACGCTAAGCTTCCCTGTCCTTCACTATCTCCCAAGGTTTGCTCAAACTCATGTCCATTGAATCACTGATGCTATCTCACCATCTCATCCTCTGCTGCCCCCTTCTCCTTTTGACTTCAGTCCTTCCCAGCATCACTCTTCTCCAGTGAGTCAGCTCTTTGCAGCAGTTGGCCAAAGTATTGGAGCTTCAGCTTTGCATCAGTCCTTCAGTCCTTCCAATGAATGAGCTTCCCTGGTAGCTCAGACGGTAAAGCGTCTGCCTACAATGCGGGGGACCTGAGTTCAATCCCTGGGTCAGGAAGATCCCCTGGAGAAGGAAATGGCAACCCACTCCAGCATTCTTGCCTGGAAAATCCCATTGACTGAGGATCCTGGTAGGCTACAGTCCATGGGGTCGCAAAGAGTAGGCACGACTGAGCGACTTCACTTTCTTTCTTTCCTTTTCCAATGAATATTCAAGGTTGATTTCCTGTAGAATTAACTGATTTGATCTCCTTGCTGTCCAAGGGACTCTTATTAAGAGCTCTCTCTAGCACCATAATTTGAAAGCATCAATTCTTTGCTTAGCCTTCTTTATGGTCCAACTCTTATATCTGTACATGACTTCTGGAAAAACCATAGCTTTGACCGTATGGACCTTTGTCAGCATTACCAGGCCTGTAATTCATGGTTCCTACTATGAACAGTTTCCAATCATTATAAGATATCTTATCAACCTTGATAGAAAGGGGAATATAAGAACCAGAGATATATTCACAGGAACTTACTTATCTATCTAATCAATAGATAGCAGAATATTACTATAGCTTCATTTTTCTAATGTTATTCTAATATAAACTTATTTATATTTCTTATGTCTCCTGAGTACAAGTGCCATGTAAATATCAGTATTTCAAGAAAGATTTCTGGATTGGCTACAGTTGTATCAACATAGAAAAAAGCTATAAACAAAAGAGACAAATATCTCCTTCAAAAATATATTGCTTTTAAGTTTAATATGTTTGTTTTTAAGCAAAATGTTAGAAAAAATGATACTTTCAAAGGTCTTAAGCATAGAAAGTTGTGTCTATTTTATTTTCTGTCCTTTCTTACTTTTTTCAGAGACACTGGAGAAGATACTCCACTAGAAAGCAGTTTCTGAAATTGAAATATTATTCAATTATCCTGCAATCTAGGATAAGGATGATCATTGCTGTCGCTTCTTACAAACGATACCATCGGGCTACCGTGACAATTCAGAGGCACTGGCGTGCTCATGTGAGAAGCAAGCAGGATCGACAGAGATATGAACTGCTAAAATCATCCACCCTTGTAATCCAGTCCGCCTTTAGGAGATGGAGGCAACGTAAGAGGCAATCACAAATAAAAGCTGCCATAGCATTGCAAAGAGCTTTCAGAGAATGGCGTGTCCGGAAACGTGCTCAAGAAGAAAGAGCTGCCGTGGTCATACAATCCTGGTATAGGATGCACAGAGAATTACGGAAGTACTTTCACCTTAGATCTTGTGTTGTCATCATTCAGGCAAGATTTCGGTGCTTTCAAGCCCAAAAGTTATATACAAGGACCAGAAAGTCTATCCTGACTCTGCAGAAGCACTACAGAGCGTACGTGAAAGGAAAGGTTGAGCGCACAGGCTATTTGCAGAAACGGGCTGCAGCCATCCGCCTGCAGGCCGCTTTCAGGGGAAGGAAAGCACGTAAGTTATGCAGGCAGATCAAGGCCGCTCGTGTCTTACAGTCGTACTGGAGAATGAGACAGGACAGACTCCGATTTCTAAACCTTAAGAAAAACATCATCAGGCTGCAGGCACACATAAGGAGACATCAACAATTACAGACATACCAGAAGATAAAGAAAGCTGCCGTCGTAATTCAGATTCATTTCCGAGCTTACATCTCAGCCAAGGAAGTTCTGGCCTCTTACCAGAAGACACGTTCTGCTGTCATCGTCCTGCAGTCTGCGTGCAGGAGAATGCAGGCCAGGAAAAAGTTTCTTCACATTCTCACATGTGTTGTAAAGATTCAATCATATTACAGGGCTTATGCTTCCAGAAGAAAGTTTCTGAGGCTCAAAAAGGCTACAGTAAAGTTACAATCCATTGTCAGGATGAAGCAAGCCCGCAAACACTACTTACATTTACGAGCAGTTGCACAACAGAGAGAACACCTGCGGGCCTCTTGCATCAAACTGCAAGCTTTCCTCAGAGGGTACCTGGTTCGGAAGCAGGTGAGGCTGCAGAGAAAAGCCGCTGTTGCGCTGCAGTCTCACTTTAGGATGAGAAGGACGCGGCTGGCCTACCTGAAGGTCTATCACGCAGCCCTTGTCCTTCAGCGTTACTATCGTGCGCACCGAGCACGGGCCCAGCAGAGGAAGCACTTCCTGCAAGTCAGAAGAGCCGTGACCTGCTTGCAGGCCGCTTACAGAGGGTATAAGGCCCGCTGGCAGCTCCAACAGCAATCTGCAGCTGCTCTGAAAATTCAAGCTGCCTTTAGAGGCTACCGTCAGAGGACGAAATACCAATCCATGCTTCAGTCTGTGCTCAGGATTCAGAGATGGTACAGGACACGCAAGATCGTTTCTGCTGTAAGAAGCCAATTCTTCAAAACAAGGACAGCTGCGATTTCTCTCCAGTCCGCTTACCGTGGCTGGAAAGTTCGGAAGCAGATCAGAAGGGAACATGAAGCTGCAGTGAAGATTCAGTCTGCTTTCAGAAAGGCCAGGGCCCAGAAGGAGTTCAGGGTGTTAAAAACGGCTGCAGCCGTGATCCAGCAGCATCTGAGAGCGCGCGCCGTGGGGCGGAGGCAGCGGACGGAGTACAGGGCGCTGCGCCGGGCGGCAGTGACGCTCCAGTCCGCCTGGAGGGGCCGAGCAGCCAGGAGGCGGATTCAGAACCAACAGAGATGTGCCATCATCATACAGGCCTACTACCGGAGGCACGTGCAGCGGAAGAGGTGGGAAATCATGAAAAACGCGGCTCGCCTAATTCAAATGCATTATCGGGCTTATCGTGCAGGAAGAAAACAGCATCATTTGTTTTTGAAAACCAAAGCAGCTGCAATAATCCTACAGTCAGCTTTCCGAGGTGTGAGAGTGAGGAAGAAAGTGAAGAAGATGCACCAGGCAGCCACCACCATACAGTCTAGATACCGAGCATACCAAGCCAAAAAGAAGTACGCCAGCTCCAGAGCAGCGGTCGTCATCATTCAGAGGTGGTACCGAGGGGCTAAGCTCGCAGGCCTTCAGCGTAAGGAATATCTTGCAGTAAAGAAGGCAGCATTGAAAATCCAGGCCGTCTATAGAGGAGTCAGAGCAAGAAGACAGATCCGGCGCATGCACGCAGCAGCCACTCTCATCAAAGCCGCCTTCAAAATGCAGCAGTCACGGAGGAGGTATCAGCAAATGAGAACAGCAGCCGTTGTAATTCAGGTAAGGTACAGAGCGTACCTCCAAGGTAGAGCTCAGCGTGCAAAGTACCTGATGACTCTGAAAGCCGTAGCTGTCCTCCAGGCCGCTCTCAGAGGGGCAAGAGTTAGACAGAGCCTGAGAAGGATGCAGACCGCGGCCACGCTCATCCAGGCCCGCTACAGGGGGCGCCGACAGCAAGCCTATTTTAATAAGTTAAGGAAGGTGACGAAAATGGTGCAGCAGAAGTACCGGGCAGGGAGAGAAAGGAATGCACAACTGCGAAGGTACAACCAGCTGAGACTCTCCGTGATCTGCATTCAGGCTGCTTTCAGGGGCATGAGAGCGCGAAGACGCTTAAAAGCCATGCACTCCGCCGCAGCCGTAATCCAGCGGAGGTTTAGGACTCTGGTGAGGAGAAGAAGATTCCTGTCTCTCAGGAAGACTGCCGTGTGGGTTCAGAGAAAATACCGTGCAAAGGTTTGCGCAAGGCATCACTTACAACAGCTCCGATTGCAGAAGGCGGCTATCAAAATCCAGTCCTGGTACAGGGGATGGGTGGTGAGGAAGAAGATAGAGGAGATGCACAGGGCGGCCACGGTCCTCCAGGCCGCGTTCAGGAGGCACCGTGCGCGGGCGAAGTACCAGGCCTGGAGGCGCGCCTCACAGGTCATCCAGCAGCGATTCCGGGCAGGCCGGGCTGCGCGCCTGCAGAGAAGACAGTACCTCCAGCAAAGACGCTCTGCCCTGGTCCTCCAGGCTGCGTTCAGGGGTATGAGAATCAGAAGACGCTTGAAAAGGATGCATGCCTCCGCGACCCTGATTCAGAGCAGGTTTAGGTCTATAGTGATGAGGAAAAGATTCCTTTCCCTCAAGAAAGCTGCTGTTTTTGTTCAGAGGAAGTACCGAGCCACTGTCTGTGCCAAACATCACTTGCACAGATTCCTGGAGTTACAGAAGGCAGTCATTACAATCCAGGCGTCTTACCGAAGACGGATGGTAAAGAAGAAGTTACAGGAGATGCACAAGGCTGCAGCCCTCATCCAGGCAACCTTCAGAATGCACAGAGCACGCCTGACCTTTCAGACCTGGAAACATGCCTCGGTTCTCATTCAGCAGCATTACCGGGCCTACAGAGCTGCAAAGCTGCAAAGAGCACGTTATGTCAGATGGAGGCTCTCTGCAGTGGCCATTCAGGCTGCATTTAAAGGGCTGAAAGCAAGACAGCTTTTAAGGGCAAAGCACAGAGCAGCTGTCATAATACAGAGCACGTACAGAATGTACAGGCAGCGTTTTTTCTACCAAAAGCTTCAGTGGGCTACAAAAGTAATACAAGAAAGATATAGAGCAAGGAAAAGGAAAGCTCTTCAACACGATGCACTCAAAGCAGCAACCTGTGCCCAAACTGACTTTCAGGATACGGCCATAAGGAGACTGGTTCAGGAAAGGCAGCATCAAGCTGCCATTACTGTTCAGAAGCATTTTAGAGCCTTTAAAACACGGAAGCACTATCTCCACTTTAGGGCAAAGGTAATTTTTGTTCAAAGAAGATACAGAGCACTAATGGCAGTGCGAACCCAGGCAGTCATCTGTATCCAGTCTTGTTACAGAGGCTTTAAGGCACGAAGGGGTATCCAGCGCGTGCACCTGGCTGCCACACAAATTCAGTCGTGCTACCGAAGGCACCAGGCCAGAGCTGATTATCAGGCCAAGAAAAGAGCAATTGTTGTCATACAGAATCACTACAGGTCATACGTCAGAGTGAAAATGGAGAGGAAGGAATTTTTAGCCATTCAGAAATCTGCACGAACTATTCAGGCTGCTTTCAGAGGCATGAAAGTTGGACAGAAATTAAAAGCCATGCCCGACAAAAAGATGGCAGCCCCCACTACCCAGCCTGCATTCTACTGTCACAGGACTGAGAGCCGGCATGAAGCTGGCCAGAGTCCAGCACTTGTGGCTCAAGGGCTGTATCAAGCTTCTCTGGTTGGCCCTTCACAGGAAACAGAGCATCATTCTCAAAGAAAGGCTGCAGTCACAATTCAAATAGCTTTCCGTAAAATGGTCACAAGAAGACTGGAAAAACGGAAGCGTGCTGCCATGAGAATTCAGTCCTTCCTTCAGATGGCCGTATATCGCAGAAGATTCCTTCAGCAGAAAGGGGCGGCCCTCACGTTACAGCGGTGCTTCAGGACATGGCAAAGCAAAAGACAGTTCTTACTGTACAGAGAATCAGAAGTAGGTTTGCAGAATCCCCACAGAGGCTTTCTGCCTGCAAAACATCAAAGAGAACTGTACTTACAAATAAGGAGCAGTGTAATCATTATTCAAGCTAGAGTGAAAGGATTTATACAGAAACGGAAGTTTCAGAAACTTAAAGATAGCACCATAAAAATCCAGGTATTTATGCATTTAAGTACAAAGCTTTCATTCATCCTTTGACCAGTTTCTTAGAATTTTCAAAATGAGCTGTATCAGGTTATAAAGAATAAGAGTTAGTTTATGTAACCATTTCATTTACCTTCCAAAATGGAAAGTTTTTGAAGTTGGGGAAAAGGTGCCAATAATTGTCCACCCAAGACAGAACAAGATTGTTCTGGACATGATCACCCTAAACTTAAGTTATGACTGCATAGTTAAAAGCAGAGACTTTGAGACCATACGGTTGCAGCTGGCAACCTTACATGTTTTGAGAACATCTAGTGGTGTCCTTGAGTCTAACATAAAGTTCAAGTTCTCAGTGATGCTGAAACATGTCAAACCACATCCATGATAGCCACTTGGCTCCGTTTTGGATGCCTGAACCACAGTTAATCCATTTTGATTTTTAAATGCTTTCTTTTCTGTAACAGCTAAAGCAGATATACAGTATATGTTTAATAGGCCACAAAACAGGCTGTTCTAGTTAACATAAAGTTCAAGTTAAATCCAGTGATAGCTGGAATGACTTCCCCATATATCAATATATGGAAATTTCTTCATCATAATACAGAATGAGAAATGTATGTGGCTGGGAACACAGAGAAGGGAAACCTAAGCTGGTCCCAGTGATCAGAGAAGGCTTCTTGGAATAAGTGGGGTTTAAGATAAGAGTTAAGCTGAAGCTGAAGGAAATAGCCTAGTAAGCTGTACTGAAGGGGTATTCCAGCTGTAGGGGGCAGCATGGAGCTCTCAACTGAGAGTGAGCACAGGTGTGCAATAAAGGTGATCTGAGACCAGGATGGCGGTCCATGGAGTGAGCGGTGGCAGCGCTGTAAGACAGAAAACGGTTAGTCTTCATCCTCTGGACTGAAAGAAGTTCTAGATGAGTTTAAGGAGAGGACCAGAATCCTAGTTTATCTTTTTAAAATTACTCAGGCAGGGTCTTGCCTGGCAGCCCAGTGGTTAAGTGGTTAAGTCTCTGCACTCCCAACCAATTGAACTCCGGTTCAATCCTTGGTCAGGGAACTGCAATCCCACATGCCCCACAGTGTGGCCAAAAAAAAAAAAAATANAAAAAAAATACTCAGGCAGGAATGTGGAAGATAGACTAGGCTATGGGCAGCCAGTCATGAGGTTGCAGGTAGTAGGTTGGGAAAAAGTGAATTACACGGAACAGAGGGCAATGACAGTAGGATCTTCAGGGTCCATGTGAGCGGAGGATGGGACTGGCCTTATATAGAGCCTAACTAGAGCTAAGCCACCTTTGAGGCTAAGGAGACAAAAAGACTGATACCTGGCTCCCACTAGGCGATGTCTGTCTACATAAAGCCACATAAAAACACTCTGAGTCAAGGACACCACAGGGGTCAGTTTGACCATACATATCACTCTCGCCTGTCAACTGAAACCAACCCCCATGTAGGGTGTAGTTATCCTGTTTGTTGTAGGTATTTTGAAATCAGATAGACTCAGGTTCAGATTTTGACTCTATTCACTTACTATGAGGTAACAAGTCTCTTAGCGTTAGTTTCTGTTTTGTGAAATAGAGAGCTTAATTATCATCTCACAAGATATTTGTCAAGATTAAATAAGATAGGTCTGCCACTTATTACCTGTGACATCAGCAAGTTCTTTTACTGGTGTCAGTTCCTCTGGGCCTTCATTTCCTCATCTCTAAATTAGAGGTAATAGTACCTACCTGTGTTCACGTAAGGACTTGTAGCACTGAGTATAGTGCTAAGCACTTAAGAAGTTGTAACTCTCACTTAAGCTTTTAGTCAGCTGCAGGGTTGCCAGAATTGGAAAGTCTGATGGCCCCGGGTGGATGGATGCTGGGATTCCACAGCCGGCTGGCCTGAACCCAGGTGCCTCTGAGGAGGGGTGGAGAGATCCCCATCCTCTCCCTGGAAGCGGAGTCAGCGTGTGCATTTACTCTCTGTTCCTTCACAGGACTGAGAGGGTGAGGGCAGCACACACACCTGGCTTCCCAGGCTTTGTGCAGATCTCACAGCTTAAATACTTGCTAGGGTTGAGTGAGGCCCAGCCGGAGCCAGCCCACTGTTCTCAGAGGGCTCACGTGTCAGGAGTGAGCGAGCCTCACAGAAAAGTCGGGATGTGACGGCGTTTCTACAGTTGATCTTGTCTTCCTGAACTTATGTTAGTTGTTTTCCAATACCGACTTAAAAAAAAAAATTAGACATCTCATTGCATATTTGTTATATTTATTTGCTTAACAGACTGTGTGGAGGAGACACAAAGCCAGGAAATATTTACGAGAAGTGAAAGCTGCCTGCAAGATTCAAGCCTGGTTCAGGTGCTGGAAAGCACGTAAGGAGTATCTGGCTGTGTTAAGAGCTGTTAGAATCATTCAGCATTGCTTCTGCACCCAACAGCAGAGAAGACGGTACTGTCTCAGCTGTGTAGAGGGCAGTGTGGTGTGTGTGTGTTTGTGTATCAAATAATACCACTTGTTGGATTTTCTTTTGAATATTTGCTATGCTTAATTTATATTGTTCGTTGATGTTTTCTCCATTATTGTAACAAAATTATCTCTGAGATTGTCTTATTTTTTGAGACAGAGCCTTGATAGTATAATCCAGTTGTTGTCCAGTTGCTTAGTCATGTCTGATTCTTTGCGACCCCATGCGTGCCAGCCTTCCCTGAGTTTGCTCAAACTCTGTCTCCCAGAGTTTGCTCAAACTCATGTCCATTGAGTGAGTGATGCCATCCAACCATCTCATCCTCTGCCGCTCCTTCTCCTGCCTCCAATCTTTCCCATCATCAAGGTCTTTTCGAATGAGTCAGCTCTTTGCATCAGGTGGCCAAAGTTTTGGAACTCCAGCTTCAGCATTAGTCCTTCCGATGAATATTCAGGCTTGATTTCCTTTTCGATTGACTGATTGGATCTCCTTGCAATCCAAGGGACTCTCAAGACTCTTCTCTTAGGATCACAATTAGAAAGCATCAATTCTTTGGTGCTCAGCCTTCTTTTTGGCCCAACTCTCAAATCTATATGTGACTACTGGAAAAACAGCTTTGACTATAGGGACCTTTGTTGGCAAAGTGGTGTCTCTGCTTTTTAATATGCTGTTTAGGTTTGTCATAGCTTTTCTTCCAAGGAGCAAGCATCTTTTAATTTCGTGACTGCAGTCACCATCCACAGCAATTTTGGAGCCCAAGAAAATAAAATCTGTCACTGTTTCCACTTTTCCCCCATCTACTTGCCTTGAAGTGATGTGAAAGTATTTACTTAAATTTGATTAACGCAGGTTCTTAAGGATAAGGGTAGGGACGGAGGAATGGGAAGCAGGTAAATTGATCTAATTATGTTGTTTTCCTTGTTAGTGCACTGGTCCATTTTGTTTGTTGATGTAGTTATTGGCAGCATTTCTTTCCTTTTTTTTTTTTTAAACCTTGTATTATCACCTGTTCTCTATCCTTAATGATGACATAATTACCAACTTGTCTATGTTAACTCTATTTCCCTCTTGCTACTTCATTTCTCTGAAACACATTTTCAGAAGCTGTTACCAGAGTGTTCATATTATTGTTTATTCCATAGTGTAAGAATTTTTTCTTCAGTTCCCAGAATTGATGAATTATTGTATCAGTGGTTTAAGATTGTTTTAGGAGAGCATATTCGTCTTAGAAGCATTTCTTGTTTAATTCCATGGGTAGAGTAAGGCTTAAGAAATAAATTTACAGTTGCTGCTCTCAGCTATTAAGGACCAGTATCTAGTTTTCCTGTTGACATTCAGCCTTATTTTCTAGGAATAGTGGTGACGTGACTTAGTTAATCTCTATCTTTTCCACACAGTTGTGAACAAGCAGATAAAGAACCTGCTTATTCTCAGTTGTTGCCTATTACTACTATATTGATGCTAAACTTTAATCTCTAGCCCTCACATTTAAAATTTTTCTCCAGTTCTGCCTTTTTTAGATCTTTTGATAGCGCTCATCTTTTCTTTCAGTTGAGTGTCCATTTCTCATTTGCTGATGCTATTCCAACCTCCCAATGGAGCCCAAGAAAATAAAATCTGTCACTGTTTCCACTTTTCCCCCATCTACTTGCCTTGAAGTGATGTGAAAGTATTTACTTAAATTTGATTAACGCAGGTTCTTAAGGATAAGGGTAGGGACGGAGGAATGGGAAGCAGGTAAATTGATCTAATTATGTTGTTTTCCTTGTTAGTGCACTGGTCCATTTTGTTTGTTGATGTAGTTATTGGCAGCATTTCTTTCCTTTTTTTTTTTTTAAACCTTGTATTATCACCTGTTCTCTATCCTTAATGATGACATAATTACCAACTTGTCTATGTTAACTCTATTTCCCTCTTGCTACTTCATTTCTCTGAAACACATTTTCAGAAGCTGTTACCAGAGTGTTCATATTATTGTTTATTCCATAGTGTAAGAATTTTTTCTTCAGTTCCCAGAATTGATGAATTATTGTATCAGTGGTTTAAGATTGTTTTAGGAGAGCATATTCGTCTTAGAAGCATTTCTTGTTTAATTCCATGGGTAGAGTAAGGCTTAAGAAATAAATGTACAGTTGCTGCTCTCAGCTATTAAGGACCAGTATCTAGTTTTCCTGTTGACATTCAGCCTTATTTTCTAGGAATAGTGGTGACGTGACTTAGTTAATCTCTATCTTTTCCACACAGTTGTGAACAAGCAGATAAAGAACCTGCTTATTCTCAGTTGTTGCCTATTACTACTATATTGATGCTAAACTTTAATCTCTAGCCCTCACATTTAAAATTTTTCTCCAGTTCTGCCTTTTTTAGATCTTTTGATAGCGCTCATCTTTTCTTTCAGTTGAGTGTCCATTTCTCATTTGCTGATGCTATTCCAACCTCCCAAACTCTCTTCCTGACCACCTCTGTCTGCTTAAAGACTTGATTACAGTGTGGACTCAGATTTATTCTCTACCATTCATTCTTCCACCACCCCTTTATTGAGGTTTTGTCTAGATCTGGCTAATCCTACTTTCTTCTGATCTGGTTCAGAATTTTTTGTCATTCTAGAATTTAATATTTCTTGACCACTGAAATATTGCCAATTGTAAAATTTCTTTTGCATTTTGTTACCCTGTGTGTGTCTCTGTGTGTATGTTTGTACTATCATGATTCCTAGAACCTAATATAAATTACTCATTTCTACTTTTTATTTATTCTCTCATTTCCTTTAGTATTTATAGGGGGCAGGCAATAAATACTTACTAAATAAGTTAATTGAAATTGCTTTCCAATAATCGCTTTGTAGGTTTTTGAATGGGAGAGCATCAGCAGCCATCATTCAGAGAAGATGGAGAGCTGCACTCTCTGGAAGAGCAACTCATGAACAACCCTTAATGATGCAAGTAGGTGTTAAAGAAAGCGATTCATGTGTAAAGAGCTACTTTAGAAAACAGAAAACAAAGAGTAAAGACCTAACTCTACATTCATTTTAAGCACGTCATTGCAGTCAGTTAAAAATTATATTCACTCATAAAAATACTGTTTGTGAATATTTTTTGTGTGTGTATACCTGTGTTTATAAAGTATTCTCGAACCCAAGTTTGAAGTGATTTTTTTGGAAAAAAGTCATAATAGATGTAGCATATCCTATCTGTATGTGTCAAACACATACTCTTTCTGCCACAATTGGTAATCTATTTAAAATATTTAGCATCAGTTTTAGAATAGTCGTAGTACCTATGATCTTTTAATAAAGAAATTAAAAGTTTACTGGTAAATTTTTACATTCATGTAATATTCACTATGCATGATTATATACCCCCACTATTATTATTACACCTTCTATTATATATTTACTAAGGGGATTCTCATGAGATAGTTATTGTCAGCATTCCCATCTTATAGATGAGTAAAGCAAGGTCTTGAGATGAAAAGGGATTTGCTCAAGATCACTCAGCTAATATGTGGGGGTCTGTGTCATAAAACAAACCTAGTTCCTGTTTCAATCCAGAGATTTTACATGTCTTGGAATTTGATTGTAAGGATGTTCTGGAATTGAGGAATCTAAGATAGTCTGGGACTACACCATGGTTCTTAAAGCTGCTGACAGCTTCCCTCATAGCTGCTTACATCCATTCTCTTCTCTAGAGTGTAACTAGCTGTTTTATTAAATGCACTTGTAGTAATATTAGTCCTGTGCTCATTAGCAATGAAAAGTGTTAAGAGGAAGAGAGGGGAAGAGTACCTGCCACTGGTTTACACCTTCATAAAACTTCACATTCAGCTATAGACCTCTATGGGTTTTGAAATCTATGAAATATGACATCTTAAACTAAAAAATATAATTATACATTTTATTTTACCTTGAGAAATTCCAGAACCTCCAGTGGGTTGAAGTATTATTTCTATATGTTAACGTTACTTGCAAATTTTTCCTTATAGAGAGATCAAGCTGCTTGTTTGATCCAAGCAAATTTCAGAGGATATAAAGCAAGGCAGGTGTTTCTCCAGCAGAAGTCAGCTGCTTTGACCATACAGAGATACATACGAGCCAGGAAGGCTGGGAAGCATCAGAGGATGAAATATGTCAAAATAAAAAAATCTATAGTTGTCCTACAAGCACTGGTGCGTGGTTGGCTTGTAAGAAAAAGGGTGAGTATTTTTAAGTAGGATATCTGTTTCCCTTAGATGCTCCCCAGAAATACAAAATAGATTCTCTTGTGTAATAAATCTTAACAAAGGAGCTGAAGTCTGAGTGAGGGCTCCAAGTGTGAAGCAGGTTGTTGTTACCCAGGTTGTCCTGTGCTACCACCAGGCAACTCTCTCAGGGCGTTGTAAGATCATCCTGAGATGACTTCCACACCTTCAGCAGGGAAGAATCCTCCCTAGGGAATTCATAACGTCCTGGGCATCCTATATATGCAGCACTGGCAAACAGAAAAAAAAGGAGAAATCTGTGTTTTGTTCATTGAGTATAAGCTGAAACTCTGAAGGCCAAAGGCCCCTGTAGGGAGCTTCTGCTCCAAGAGTCTGCTCCATGGTGACACTGCCTAATACTGGAGAAATCAAATCAAATGTTTGTCCCATTTAATATCACCATCTCCAGCCATTCTGCTTGGAGCATGCTACCCCTTCCTGAGTTTAATATTCCTAGACCTCTCCTGTTATAATTAGTATATTTTAAAACTTAACTAGCTGCTATTGGGTAGCCTAATTAAATTCTTGAGTGAAGTGCCCAAATATAATTTTGCTTTCTATACCCTGAGTTAGGGGTTTCACCATTGAAAATATTGTATAGTAAGGAATATAATTGAGGGCTTCCCAGGTGGCTCAGTGGTGAAGAATTTGCCTACCAATGCAGGAGATACAGGAGATTTGAGTTCAGTCTTGGGTCGGGAAGATCCCCTGGAGGTGGAAATGGCTCCCCACTCCAGCATTCTTGTCTGGAGAATCCAGTGGGCAGAGGAGTCTGGTGTGCTACAGTCCACGGAGCCGCAAAGAGTCAGACACGACTTAGTGACTGAACAACAGCAGCAAAGTAATGTAATTACTTCAAGTTACAATGTAGATAATTTTAATAGTTAAAAGGTAACTTATTATTGCTAATTTATATAACTTGATATTGAAGATATACAGAAATAAGCATTGGTTGATCATCTCAAGAGTTAACTATTTGATTGTTAATCTTTTTTTCTCCTTCAGATCTCAGAGCAGAGAGCCAAAATTCGGCTTCTTCACTTTGCAGCAGCTGCCTTTTATCACCTGTCTGCTCTTAGAATTCAAAGAGCCTACAGACGTCACATGGTTCTGAAGAAGGCTAATAATAAACAGCTTAATTCAGCCATCTATATTCAGGTTAGCTTTCCTTTGCATTAAGACTATGACCTAATTTTTGTTTAGAGTTTTTTCATATTTCATAAGCAATTTCCAAATACCTCTAGTAAGGTTATATAACATTTAGCTTTGGCCACACAGCTTTTAGGATGTCTTGATGGTTTAGAGATAAGTTGATGTTTTATGGCACAGTACTGAAGCTATGAATTATTCTCTGGTGCTTTGAACTCATTTACCCTTCTGCTAGCAACATCTGAGGGTACCTGTTTCTCTCTCGACATTCTTGCCAACTTGTGGCATTGGAAGACTCTGTGATTTCTGTCATTTTGATGAATGGCAAATTATATCATTTTTGTTTTGGATTTCCTTTGACTGCTAACAATTCTGAAAAAAAAAAACAATTTCACCTGTGTTAATTATTCAGATTCNTCCTCTTCTATTTCCCATGAAGTGATGGGACCAGATGCCATGATCTTAGTTTTCAGAATGTTGAGCTTTAAGCCAACTTTTTCACTCTCCTTTTTCACTTATACAGTGTATTTTAAAAAGATTTTTTTCTATATATCTTGCTAGTTTTTCTGTTGAGTGTTTTTTTTCTTAATAAATTATAGGAGTTCTTTATGTATTCTGAATAAGAATCCCGTTTGTGTATATTAAGTAAAAAAAGTAATTGAAGAATAATACACAGCTTGATGAGATTTGTATAAATTATGAAATGAGGAATAGCTGTGCAGGGCTGAATTCACATGCACACACTTACGTGCACACACTCACACTCACACGCTGTGACCTGGAAGGATCTACACCAGCCTGAGTGGAAAAGGAATGCCACTGGGGAGGGTTGAAAGATATTCAGTGTCACGTCCTGTTTATTTCATTTGTGTGTGTGTGTATGTATTTAAAACCTGAAATAATAAAGATCTTCATCCATCCTAAACAGAGATGGTTTCGAGCAAGATCACAGCGTAAGAGGTTTCTTCAGGAATACAGCATCGTAAACATTCAGCATGAAGCTCAAGAATGTGCGAGCCGGCGCAGCATGGCTGCGTCTGTAATACAGAAAGCTGTCCGCTGCTTCCTCCTCCGTAAAAAGCAGGAAAACGTTAACAAAAGAATTGCTAAAATTCAGGTAACCAAAAATATTATGATTTTGCAATTCATCCTCACAATACCTAACATTTTATTTTATTTTTTGGCCATACCTCAAGGCTTGCAGGATCTTCGTCCCCAACCAGGGCTTGAACTCAGGCTACAGCATGGAACATGCTGAGTTCTAACCATAGGGCCGCCCGAGGATTCCACATCTAACATTTTAAAAAGCACAGTTGCACTCATCCTAGAAAACTAAGGCTGGCCAATAGAAGAATTCATAAGCACTATGCTACCAGAGTTTCATTGCTAAGCCCTTTATTTTCAAATTCCCTGTAGGAAGTTGATGACTGAGAGCTGCAAAAGTATTTTTGCATTTTGAATACAGTTAGCCACGTTTGACCAGTGAATGCTACTTTAGCTCATATGTAGGAATATGATACATATTTCTTCTTAGAAAAATTTATTTTGCTCTTTATTAGAACCTGAATTGAAGTTCTACTTGCAAAGTGTCTGACTGCATCATACAATTTTACTGAAAATATTTACTATGTTTGGAAGTAGATATAGATATAAATTCACAACATCAGGGGTTGCAACCTTCAAGTTACGGTTTGTCTCTTTAAGGCACTATGGAGAGGATATTCTTGGAGGAAGAAAAATGATAATACAAAAACTAAAGCCATTCGACAGAGACTTCAGTGTGTTAACAGGGAGATTCGAGAAGAAAACAAGCTCTACCACAGAACAGCAGTGGCCCTGCACCATCTCCTAACGTACAAGTACCTTTCCACCGTGCTTGAGGCCCTGAAGCACCTGGGTCAGTTGGTTTCAAGAGTATCTTGTAGAAGGGTAGAGATGCACTTTTACCTCAGAGTAGACAAAGGGGCTCCCCAGGAGGCATTAGAGGCGAAGAGCCTGCCTGCCGGTGCAGGAGACGTAAGAGACGTGGGTTTGATCCCGGGGTCGGGAAGATCCCCTGGAGGAGGCATGCCAACCCACTCCAGTATTCTTGCCTGGAGAATCCCCATGGACAGAGGAGCCTGGTGGGCTACAGCCCACAGGGTCACAAAGAGTCAGACAGGACTGAGGCAACTTAGCACGCATTAGTAGTTAAGATGCTGATTTTGTTGCTGTGAATATATCTCTTTTTCTCTTCCTCTTTCAGAGTCAGTTACTAGATTGTCTTCAATTTGCTGCGAGAAGATGGCCCAGAGTGGAGCAATCTCCAAAATATTTGTCTTGATCCGAAGCTGTAACCGGAGCGTCCCGTGTATGGAGGTCATCACATACGCTGTGCAGGTCTTGCTTAATGTCGCCAAGGTACTTTCCATCCTGATTGGGAAGTGTCCCGTGGTCCAGAGCTCTCCTCCACAAGTTAGCTCTATGCTTGCTCATCACTATAGCTGAGATCTCAAGGTTACAGTGCATTTACTGTGTGCCAGGGTCTTAGGAGGATATGTTGACTCTTTTCACATAGCTGTACATAGAAACACTGAGTGCTTTATGATTTTATTTCTTCTGTTTTTGTAGCATTTATAATGGTGATGGCAAGCATTTATCAAGGACTTGCTCACTATGTGCTAGTGCTTTTCATGCATCATTTAGTTAAGTCCTCATGTTAATCCTCTGGGATGGTTTGTATCATCCTTCCCATTTTGTTTTTGTTGTTTTCTGTTCAGTCGTGTCCTACTCTGCAACCCCATGGACTGCTGCATGCCAGGTTCCCCTGTCCTTCACTATCTCCCACAGTTTGCTCAGATCCACATCCCTTGAATTGGTAATGCCATCTAACCATCTCATCCTTTGTCACCCCCTTCTCCTCCTGCCTTCGATCTTCCCCAGCATCAGGGTCTTTTCCAATGAGTTGGCTCATCAGAAATTAGGTGGCCAAAGTATTGGAGCTTCAGCATCAGTTCTTCCAATGAATTTTCAGGGTTGATTGCCTTTCAGATTGACTGGTTTGATCTCCTTGCTGACCAAGGGACTCTCAAGAGTCTTCTCCAACACCACAATTTGAAAGCATCAATTATTTGGCGCTCAGCCTTCTTTTTGATCTAACTCTCAGATCTGTGCATGACTACTGGAAAAACCATAGCTTTGACTATATGGACCTTTGTTGGCAAAGTGATGTCTCTGCTTTTTAATATGCTGTCTAAGTTTGCCATAGCTTTCCTTCCAAGGAGCAAGCGTCTTTTAATTTCATGGCTGAAGTCACTGTCACCAATGATTTTGGAGCCCAAGAAAAGAAAATCTGTCACTGCTTCCACTTCTTTCCTATTTGTCATGAAGTGATGGGATCAGATGCCACGATCTTCGAGTCTTTAGTGTTGAGATTCGAGGCAGCTTTTTCACTCCCATCTTGTAGTCAAGGAATAATCATCCTTACAGGAGGGAAGGTCCAAGCCCGAGGACCAGCATGTGGTCAGTGGTGGGGCCAGACGTGGGCTCACGTCCATCCCCAGCCAGAGCCAACCCTCCACACGCTGTGCTGAACCAGAGCAGTAGCACCTCTTCTATCACATCCGGCAAAACAGGGTGGTCCCACCACTGTGCCAGGAACAGCATGATACCACCGCTGTACCAGGAACAGCATGATACCACTGCTGTACCAGGAACAGCATGATACCACCACTGTGCCAGGAACAGCATGATACCACCGCTGTGCCAGGAACAAGATGAGACCACCACTGTCCCCGGGGACAGCATGAGACCGCCGCTGTACCCGGGAACAGCATGATACCACCACTGTGCCAGGAACAGGATGAGACCACCACTGTCCCCGGGGACAGCATGAGACCACCGCTGTACCCGGGAACAGCATGATACCACCACTGTCCCTGGGAACAGCATGATACCACCGCTGTGCCAGGAACAGGATGATACCACCACTGTACCCGGGAACAGCATGATACCACCGCTGTGCCAGGAACAGGATGAGACCACCGCTGTCCCCGGGAACAGCATGAGACCACTGCTGTGCCAGGAATAGGATGATACCACTGCTGTGCGGCGAACAGGATGATACCACCGCTGTCCCCGGGAACAGCATGATACCACCGCTGTGCTGGGAACAGGATGATACCACCACTGTCCCCAGGAACAGCATGAGACCGCCGCTGTGCTGGAAACAGCATGATACCACCACTGTCCCTGGGAACAGGATGATACCACCGCTGTGCCGGGAACAGGATGATACCACCACTGTACCCGGGAACAGCATGATACCACCGCTGTACCAGGAGCAGCTTGATACCACCACTGTACCCGGGAACAGCATGAGACCACCGCTGTCCCCAGGAACAGCATGAGACCACCGCTGTGCCCGGGAACAGGATGAGACCACCGCTGTGCCCGGGAACAGGATGAGACCACCGCTGTGCCCGGGAACAGCATGATACCACCGCTGTGCCCGGGAACAGCATGATACCACTGCTGTGCCCGGCTCCCTGGGACACTCTAGGTGTGAATGTCAGTCTTTGGCCTTGGGCTGCTTGAAGTCTCCACCAGAATCTCACATGTAGAGATGTTGACATGGCAGTTCATCCTCCTCGCCCGATCCATCAGCCATAACTTCGAGACTTCCCCTGGGCTTTTTCTCTTTGAGGAGCAGTGGTTGAGACAGACTCTGATGCCAGACTGCCTGGGCTTGCATCCCAGCTCTGCAGCTCACCATGGGTTACTCAGCCTCTCTGTGCTTCCCCTTTTTTAATGTAAACTGAGGGTAGTCCTCGTATCTTTCTCCTAATGTTATTGTGTGAGAATTAAATGAATCTGTGCACATAATGTGCTTGATCCACAGATGTGCCGAACAAGTGCAAAGTGTTCATGTTGCTTTGTTGTTTTTATCTTAGTACCAGTAGCATTACCTTTTACCATGCAGATGGCAACATGAATCTAATGATGTGATTCACAACTGAAGTATGAAAGATATGTTCTTGGCTAATGATCATCACATTTATTTATTTTAAAGCAAGCTCACCTTCTCAGGAAGCATGAGTAGGGTAACAAGCAGTCAATCTTGTCTTTATGGTTATCTTAACCTATGATTACCTATCACAGATATGTTATATTTTTCTGAGAGGGTCTCTCTAAAATGTCCTTGTTTTTTACCTTGTTTTCATTTACATCAAGGTGTGCATTTTCAGAGATTTCAGATTTGATTCATTTTTTGTGGAACTTTAAAATAGGTTGGGTAAAAAAACATTAAAAGGCACATAAGCATATAAGATGGATCCCGAAATGACCTCGGAAAGTCTTCTCATAAAGTCCTCGCTCTTGATGCAGATGGTCCACAACCTGGCTCTAAGCCGCCTCTTCAGTTGGTGTTTCTAAGAGACTCTGCACTCATTGTAACTCGTAACTTGGTTCTGTTCTCCTCCAGTATGAAAAGACGACTTTGGCGATTTATGAGGTTGAAAACTGTGTAGATACCCTGCTGGAGCTTCTGCAGATGTACCAGGAAAAGTCTGGTGACAAAGTTGCCGACAAGAGCAGAAGCATTTTCACAAAAACCTGTTGTTTGTTGGCTGTTTTATTAAAGATGACAACTCGAGCTTCAGTGAGTATTCACCAGCTTTTTTTCCTTTGCGGTTATTTTTGCATGTTCTTAAGCCCAAGACTTTCATGCGGTAGTTATCATAACTTCAATAGGGTTTTGTGTGTGTTCACACTGGCTTTTGGGGCTGATCTGATTGTCTTTCACGTGTCAGGGGAGCTGAATTCTAGAAGTAGAATTTATTATAGCCCTTGAAGTAGGAAAATGGAACCCACTCCAGTATTCTTGCCTGGAAAATTCCATGGACAGAGGAGCCTGGTGGGCTACAGTCCATCGGACCGTGAAGAGTCAGACATGGCTGAGCACAGACACAGGAATAACCAGCTTCCATGTACTTGAGGGAAGTAAGAACCGTGCCAACCAGGAAGCGACCCAGTGTGTTGACTCCTCATCCTCTTGCTGTGATGTAGAGACGTGTCAAGCGCTTCTCTGGTGAGGTCTCTGCATTACCCTCTCCAGGTGTGCAGTCAGCAGGGCTCACCAGGGGCCGGGATAGGATTGTGACCTTTATCCTGAGAACCATGGGAAACCACTGAAGCTTTCTTAAGCAGAGGAATATGTTCCAGTTTAAGTTTTAACATCACCTTGGCTGCTGATTGAAGAATGGATTTGGGAGAGCATGTGAGATGTAGGGAGACCATCAAGGAAGGAGGCAAGTGTAGATACTCAGTGGTCTGGGCCAGAGTCTGTGCTTGACCTGGGGCTGCTTCTGTGAGAGTTAGACGGGTAAGGCTGGAACCATTGAGGAGGTAAACTTCACGAGACTTGGTAACTATGTAGAATGGGTATATTGACTTTATTTTTTTTTTTTAATGGACTGGTTGGATCTCCTTGCGGTCCCAGGAACTCTCAAGAGTCTTTTCCAACACCACAGTTCAAATGCATCAATTCTTTGGCACTCAGCTTTCTTTATAGTCCAGCTCTCACATCCATACATGACTACTAGAAAAACCATAGCGTTGACTAAACGAACCTTCATTGGCGAAGTAATGTCTCTGCTTTTTATTTTAGCCTCCAACTAATAAAATAAATAAATAAATAAATAAAAGGTATATTGACTTTAATGTTTGCTTTTTTTAAATTCAGTATGGAATTAAGTGTATCATTTGTGAATATTTGCCCTCTTTGTAATTCTTTTTTTAAACCAGTCTAACTGCTGCACGTGGAGAGCATGGCTTTTTATTGTTTAAAGCTTGTCATTTACTGCACAGTGTTTGTTAACTGTGATTGATTTTAGCAATCAATCCCTTCTGGCAAAGAAGGGATACAAAGTTTAATTCTAGTTACTATTTTAATAAACATACATTTTCTTTTTTAGGATGTTCAAAGTAGGTCCAAAGTTATCGACCGTATTTATAGTCTCTACAAACTTACAGCTCATAAGCATAAAGTGAATACTGAAAGAGTCCTTTGTAAACAAAAGAAGAATTCTTCTGTGAGCCTTTCCTTTTTTCCAGAAACACCTGTAAGAACCACAATGGTTTCAAGGTGAGCAGTAAATGTACCCTGCAGTTTTGTGTCACCAAACATGCATTTGTTCATTGAGCCTGGGCTTCCCAAGTAGCTTAGTGGTAAAGGATCTGCCTGCCAAGCAGGAGATGCAAGAGATGTGGGTTCAATCCCTGATTCGAGAAGATCCCCTGGAGGAGGAAATAGCGACCCACTCCAGTATTCTTACCTGGGAAACCCCATGGACAGTGGAGCTTGTCGGGCTGCGGTCCACAGGGTTGCAAAGAGTTGGACGCTACTGAGCACCACCACCACCTTTTCAATGTATGATTTTTATTTAAGAACTTGGTGTATTTTAATATGAATTACATTACAGAATTATTAACACATTAGTGAATAGATTCTCCTCCCCCCCTGCCCCCTTTTGACATTTGTTGTTCAGTCGCTCACTCGCGTCCTACTCTTTGTGACCTCATGGACTGCAGCACACCAGACTCCCCTGTCCTTCACCATCTCCCGGAGTTTGCTCAAACTCATGTCCATTGAGTCGGTGATGCCATCCAACCGTCTCATCCTCTGTCATCCCCTTCTCCTTCCGCCTTCAATCTTTCCCAGCATCAGGACATAGTCAGGGGTTTGGTTTTTGGGGGGCATGGTTGGGGGAAGTGGGCGGGTAAAACTCCAAACAGTATATATGCACCTTTTCTGAGATAAAATATTTCTGTCACAACAAAGTTCCCTTGTGCCCCTTTCAGTCAATTCTCTCACGTTAACTGGGGATTCTGGAAACTACTGACATGATTTCAGTATCTTTAATTTTGTCTTTTCTGCTTTGTCCCATAAATGGGATTATACATAGGCAGCTTTCTGTGACAAACTTTTCTATTTAGCTTAATAAATACACCTTTGTGAGGTTCATCCACATCTTATGTGGCCTAGATTTCATCTCTCTCTTCACACAGTGCTCCTCCATGATAGGGAAACACCCACTCTGTGTGACCACTCCCCTTCCCCCCCAATTAATTGATATTTGGGATTTTCACTGGAAAGAGTAAGAAAATGGAATTGCGTATAGTGGTAGGGATTCATGTGAGGAAGATGGATATGATTCTGTTTTCTCAGTGATGGAGATTATAAACATTAACTCAGCAGCATAAAATAGTCATCTTGGGGAAAGAGAAAGGAAGCAATTTCTAGGTGGTTTCAATCCCTGTGGTATAGTCAGCCAGCCTGGTTGTGTAGTTTCTCTTTAGCACCGTCCAGCTTGCAGGAATGAAAAAGGCAGATACCTGGATTCAACTGGGAATCTGACTAGAACTTTCCAGCTGAATTCAGTAGGAAAGAGCGACAATAGCATTAACAGTATTTGCAAAGGAGATTATACCAGGGGACCCAAGGCAGACAGGAGGGAAAGGTTATGCAGCGGGAAGGAAAGGTGTGCAGTGCTGTGCTGGGCGCGGGCTTGCACTGAGGTCCAGGGAAATAGGCCCTCAGCGGACGGAGCCAGCGATCATGGACTTGTTAAGTCCAAGGACGCAGATGAATCCCAAGTGGCGGTTGGGAATGGAAGGCCGGGCACCTTCTGAGGGTGGTGCCAGTCTATTGTGTGGTCGTGTGACAAGGAGTGGACCTGCAGGAAGGGGGCGGAAATGGACAGAAGAGGGGTCGTCGCTTTGGCTGCAAGGATTTGGAGTTCTGAGATGGGACAGGAGGTGAGTGGAGACCGGGAACCAGGTTTACAGACGAAAGCCTGGAGTTTCATGGCTGAATAGCCTGAGCTTCAGAGGAGCCACCATCATCCTTCTGGGAAGATGGGGAGAAACGATCTAATGTTGTAAACGGTGATAACAAGAAGCTTCCCACCTGCGTGAGGGGCCGGGAGGGGGCGATGTGCCCAGGAGGGGCCACATTTCAGTTAAGAAAAAGCGGTGGACATGACTCTTTTAAGAGAAGAACTTGATTAATAGAAGGTTTTTGTTTTTCTCACAGACTCAAACCAGACTGGGTTTTGAGAAGAGATAATGTGGAAGAAATCATGACTCCTCTGAAAGCTATTCAGATGGTGATGGACACGCTCAGCCTTCCTTATTAGCAGAGGCAAGCGTCTCGGCGTGTACAGGAAGACGCAGGAAAGCTCATCATGCAGATGGAAAGCGTTTTTAGGTTTCTTTGTACAATTTTTAAAAATCTGACTTTGTGTTAAAAAGATATATGTAACAAATAAACTTTATATATTCTTTCTCTTATTTAATAGCTTTATTCGAGTAACAAACTGTTGTCATGACATGATTCTGACACAGTTATCCATGTCTGTCATCTTAAAATATTGTATTAGTTTGAATATAATCATATTCCTAAAGGGAAAACATTAGCTTAGTGTTCCTGTTTTATAGGTAAATTGAAGCATTCATCCAAAATAAATGTTGAAAAGTTAAGAGTCTGCCAACTCAGGTAGAAGTGACAAGATGATAAAATAACCCCACAAATGCCATCGACCCCTGCTTCCTGACTGAGGACCATCCAGATGGGCAACTGAGCCTCTCCGGCCACATTGGGCAAATTCAGCCCACCTCATCACATACTAAAAACCCTAGAGTTTGAGCTGAGTGGGGCTATAATTTGACCTGGGGAGAGCAAGGTTGTAATAGAAACTCTAGTCCCTGAGCACAGATCTGAAGATGGTTCATTTACGAAACACAACCTGTTTTTCATAGCTTTGGATCGCTGCTGCCAACTCTGTATCTGTGGTTCCTGGGCCGCAGACACCTACCTCCAGTGGCTGTTTGCAGTCTGATTGGGTCCCAAAGTCTGTCTAGAAATGGGGGCCAGGACAGTCCTTAACTCTTAGAAATAAATCAATAGTAGCCAGAAATGGAAAGGCCATTTAACTACTTGTTGGAATAAGGATTAAACATAATTAGAAATTGTCTGAGACCTAATTGGAGTAGATCTAAAGACCCTATTGATGAATATATTGTAGAATATATTGAAAGTAACTGGAGAAACTTTGTTTTTTTTTTCCTTCTTCCAATAAAGTATTTTGGGCAGTCTTGGTACTGAGAATTTCCCAAACGGTGTGGTTTTTGTTGACTCTCCAAATGCTTTGTTTTTCATTTCACAGAATTTTAGTATAAACAGTTTATTTACTTGGTAAATTATACTGCTAGGAGATAGTCAAGCAGCATAAAATGTTATTGGTATTCATTTCTTCTAAGATGGTTATGACCAATTAGTATTTGCACAAGAAATATTTCTAACAAGTTATACATGAAAGGTGACTTCCAGACTTTTACTGATTAAGAAAATGATGCCTTTTTAATTACTTTTTAAATTTTTATATTGTTCACCTGTCACTGATTCTCGGTATAAAGAAAGCATAAACTGTTATAGTTCTACTTTCAACAAAGGAAGAATTCCAGTGAAAACACTTTGCTTTAACTTCTTCACAGGAGGTAAAATCAATGCAGATAAACATTTGTTTACAATCTATATTTGAAGGCATGTGTGTTTGTGGGTCCGTGTAAAAATTTCAAAGCTATGTAAAGAAAGAAGGAAATAGTCTAAAAACCTGCTTATTTCAAGAAATGCTTATGGGGGCTACATGAAGTAATGTTTCTAAAGCTTGCATAGATTATGGACCATTTTTTCCCCTCCAATTTTAAAGAAGCCTATTTCAGAAACAAATCTTAAATGAACAGTTTTGGGGTTTTTTTAGTTTTAATAATCTAATTTTATTCTGATTTGTTTTTGTTTTTTCACCTTTTGGTCTCACCACGTAGCATGTGGGACCTTAGTTTCTCTACCAGGGATTGAACCCACACACTGTGCTTCAGAAGAACAGAGTCTTAACCCCTGGAATGCCAAGGAAGTCCCTAGTTTTATTCTATGAGTAATACTCCATCATTAATGCAGATAACTTGTATTTGGAATAATGGTTTATTTTGGGTTATCTAAAAAAACAAAATGAAATTTGTTCTAAACTTTGCCCTTGCTTTGCTAAGGCATCATTAAGTTTCATACATGCTGAACATTCTTTGAAACAGATTCTTCCTCCTATCAATAATTGTGATTAATTGTGATTAATAGTCCAATAACATCTATATGCATCAATATGCCAGCAAATCTGGAAAACTAAGCAGTGGCCACAGGATTGGAGAAGGTGAGTTTTCATTCCAATCCCAAAGACAATGCCAAAGAATATTCAAACTACTGCACAATTGCACTCATCTCACATACTAGCAAAGTAATGCTCAAAATCCTCCAAGCCAGGCTTCAACAGTACATGAACTGTGAACTTCCACATGTTCAAGCTGGATTTAGAAAAGGCAGAGGAACCAGAGATCAAATTTCCAACATCTGCTGGATCATTGAAAAAGCGAGAGAGTTCCAGAAAAATATCTACTTTTGCTTTATTGATTACACAAAAGCCTTTGTGTGGATCACAACAAACTGTGGAAAATTCTTAAAGAGATGGGAATACCAGTCCACCTGACCTTCCTCCTGAGAAATCTGTATGCAGGTTTCAAGTAAATTCCAGAAGTTGGTGATGGACAGGGAAGCCTGGCATGCTGCAGTCCATGGGGTCGCAAGGAGTAGGGCTCTACTGAGCAACTGAACTGAACTGAACTGAACATCTATATTTATCTTAACAATGTTACTGAAGACATAGGATACTTAGTGTCTTTCTTCTACTGTTACTTTCTCTCTGAGGTTATTTGGGTTCCATGGCCTCTTTTCTACAAGCCCTCTCAATTCCATGTGTGTCCTCTCTGCTCTAAAATAAGCGATGACCTCCAACAGGCAGCAGCCATCTGCTTCCGTCACATGCAGGCAGCTTTTGAGTGAAAACCCCCCTGATTCGTAGCCTCGCTCTCAGCACACAGAAGTTTGCTCCTCAACAACCTCCCAGTGTGTCTAGCCAAGCTGCTCTGACTATTTGCATGTCATATAATTTTGTCCTGTATCCTAGACTCACTGAATGTTGTATTGTGGAGACTGGACTCTCCTGTATCTCTCCCTCCCCCCCAAAAATGTTTTTAACAACTTGGTTGGCTCAAGCTGAACACTGATTTTGCAATGGCAGCGCAAATCTTATTTCAATTATTCTTTATCCTTATCTGAGTTACTTTGAGTTTGCCCAGCACATAGATAGTCAAGAGTCATTCGGAGGGGCTTCCCTCGTGGCTCAGCGGTGAAGAATCCACGTGCCAGTGCAGGAGACACAAGTTGGATCCCCGATCCGAGAGGATCCCACATGCCTCGGGGCAGCTAAGCCCGGGCGCCACAGCTGCTGAGCCTGTGCTCTGAAGCCCAGCAGCTGCAGCTACTGAAGCCTGCGTGCCCTCGATTCCGTGATCCGCAACAAGGAGCCCGGGCATCACGGCGAGGGCAGCTCCCACTCTGCACAGCTAGAGAAAGGCCACGCGGCAAGGAAGACCCAGCACAGCCGGAAAAAACCAAGAATCATTTGGAGGTTTACGGAGAAATCACACACAAAGGTCGGGGCCCTCTTTTGCACTCTCCAGCCTTATCTACCCATCGCCCCCTTTCTCAGTGGACATCATGCCCCCACTCGCCTCACTGGTGCCTGTGGCTAGAGTGTCTGTGGGCTTTTTCTTTAAACCCAAGGTTTCACTGCATTGCAAAGTGCTGAGTGCAGAGTTCTCTCAGGCCGTAGCTGTAAAAATGGGTCTGCCTGAGAGAACTGACTTCTTTGCCTTCTTTCAAGTGAATTGTCCCATCCAGAAACGGTCTGCTGCTTTCCATTCTGCTGTGTGTCAGTGTATCTGGTTTTCTGGTTTTCGTTGGGGGTGATTTTGGATTTTGTTCAGAGTTGCTCTCTGAAGTTTACTTGTGAATATTTGAAGCCGAAGTTGAAGAGGTGTTTTATCGTCCGTTTTATTCTCCTTCCCAAAAACCTTTTACTTTTAAAAAGTTAATAAAGGACATTCAGGATGAAACCTTAGATACAGTGTAAGGTTGTGAATGATGTCATTCCCCCCCGCCCCAGAGAATTTATTTTTGGTCCTGACTGATAACTAGCCTACAAACACCAGCTGCTGCACATCACCTTATCCAGTTTGGATTGAGATGGTTTTGAGGTGGATTTGGGTCCCTAGGCAATCTGTACCTGCTTCTCACATACTCCTATTTGTCAGGGCCCAAGAGCTTCCTATTCTCTTGCAGGCTCTGAAAACCACTGCTGGTTTCTAACAGACCCCCAGGGTCTGTTGATAACCCTGCAGTTCATCTTAATCTTTTTAGCATCACTCTCGGATCAAAGATTGCTACGTGAGGAGAAAGAAAGAGAGTGAAGTTGCTCAGTCATGTCCGACTCTTTGCAACCCCATCGACTGTATAGCCCGCCAGGCTCCTCTGTCCCTGGGATTCTCCAGGCAAGAAGGCTGGAGTGCATCGCCATTCCCTTCTCCAGGGGATCTTCCCACTCCGGGGATAGAGCCTGGGCCTCCTTCCTTTCAGGAAAATTCTTTAGCACCTGAGTCACCAGGGGACATACACACACGACTATGTAAAACAGAGAGCTAATGAGGGCCCGCTACGCCGCGCAGGGAGCTCTCTCAGCCTCCAATGAGCTGTGTGGGGAAGAATCTAAGGGGAGTGGGCAGGTGTGTGTGTGTAACCGGGGCCCCTTACCGCACACCTGGAGCCAACACAGCATTGAGAATCAACCATACGCCGATAAAAAAGTGAGAGAAGCACGTCTTGCTGGCTCTCCTTTTCTTAACTAGAGCGCCTACAGGTGGACCTTTCGGCTTCACGCCAGCTTCTCCTTCTTGGCCTCTGACTTTTCCTCTGCCGGCTTCTCTTTATCTCCTGAACTTCTCTCAGTTGTGAATCAGACATGGTGCGTAAAAATAAATATCGCAGCCTCCAAACAGTCCCTCTGAAGCCCTTCTGACTAGGTGGGAAGGAATGGGGCTCCCAGCACCTGACGATTACCTGTCACAGGCTTTCTCCTATTTCCGGTCTTACTCCTGTTATGTTTTGATTTTGACCCCTTCACCTTGTGGGAGAGAATAGTGAGCTACGCACAGCAAACCTTACCAGCAAGCACTGCATCGCTGCTGGCCAAGCGCCTTGCTTTGCAATATGCGCCACAAAAGAGTTTTAGAAAGAAAGAAATCCTCAGAAACTGAGAGAGAGCATCCAAGTTTAAAATACTGTTTCCTATTGTGCTCTGAATAAAGCATTTTTATATGTATTTTGTTATTCTCAAAATTCTAAG